TATGCCTAATGCAAACAATGGGGGCCTTTTTTGTAGCATCTATCTAGCTGTACTCTTCCTCTTCTAACCGATGTGGGACTAAATAATAGGGAGACAAAGAGGTGGATATAGAATTAAACACAATTCGACCTCGATGCATGTACACATGATATCCAAGATCAATTCCAAAAATGCTATCAACTGTTGTTTGCCTTTTTAAAATGTGACATTAAAGTCTTTGAACAGATGGAAATAAACAAGGTGGTGCTTGTTTTTTTTTTTTATTTTAACGGTAGGAATCGAATTTAACATGTAACATTGCTAACGTTAATTGCTAACCAATAGAACTCTTTTCTGGTTCCTAATTTATCCGCAGTTTGAGTCAATATTTTTTGCAGTTAGATAACTGCAATTTCTACTCTTCTCAAATTGTCCTAGAATCTATCAGTTCCCACAACCGTGATCCTATGATTTTTTAGCAATATACACCTAAATTTTGTAGAAGTTTGTATATTTTCTTCAACTGGTTTTAGGTACTTCTCTACCTTGCCAAAATTTATTTTGGAGATTGCTTTTGATCCAAAACTCTACAATTCTATCATTTCGAACACCACGATCCTAAATATTGAAAAAAAGTAATGGATTTTGACCCTTCAAAATAATCAATCTTGTCATGCTTTGTCTTTACTTATCTTTTATTTCAATTTTTCAAATATTATTAGATATTATTTTTAGAGCTCCAAATCCATGGATCTACGGATGTATTTCTGATCCTAAAACCCATAAAACTAGGGTAGATGAATGAGCCAATGGACTTGTCAAAAAAATCTCTCTTTTTCCTTTTAAATGAACACATATAATGTTGTGCCGAATTTCAAAAAAAGTTGTGCCGAATTTATGCTTTGAGGAATTTCTTCTCCAATAGAACAGTCAAAAAGATATTTCTACTTTGAGAGAAAGAGATGATTTGTATATTTGAACAAGTGAATGAAGCAAAAACACGGATGATGAAATAAACTAGTGATTTTAAAAAGTGGATCGGTGTCCTGGATCAGGCACCCCAAAAATAGGTCCGGATCGATGAATCTGTCATCCAAATCGTCATTATATTGTGTGCACAAAACAGTGAAAACCAGTGAAAAAACACGTGAAACTGCAAAAAACCAGTCCAGATAGCCATTTTCCCGAATAAAATCATTGTTTTATTGTCCATAACTGCCGACTCCCTTCTAGACTCTATCATTTCTTTATATACATGCGGAACCGAAACAAAATGACTGATTCCCAAATCAATTAGGCGATTTCATGCCAACCCGAGGTAAATACAAAGTTTTAAAGTTTTAGGAGATTTCATGTCGAAGTTTTAAAGTTTTCTTGCCATCCATCGATTTCTATGATTTTTTGGGGTAAAAATACAAATAGCTAAAAAATAAATCGAGGTGCGTTTACAAGAGGTGTCCACCCAAAAATAACATGTTTGTATACAATGAAGATGAACTGCGATGCTATTGCTAATATTTTGATAGATCCATGGGTCGTATGGGCCCATGGGACCATATAAAGCTTTCTAATATTAAGTATGGAAAAAGATTATATAAGTTTGCAACCTTAAAATGTAGAACTACGGATGCACCTAAAAAATCCATCGGAAAATGTTGTTTTAATGTTAAAAACCCTCTAATTAATCATCTTGACACCGAGATATATGACTATGAAAAAAAGAAAAACAAGATTTTGAGTCCTAGAAATAGTGCATCTTACTACACATTATCTAGACCATCCACTTTCGAGATTTTCATATGTTTCTAGATCTACTTGATTTTAACTATTTTTAGAGTTTAAAATTTTATAATTATATGTGAAAATAGATTTTGAGATAATCCTAAAAATATTTTACATCAAAATTATATGTCATGATAAAATTTGAAGGCGCACCTTAATTAGATTTTTTAAGGTTGCAAACTTATAGAAACCACACCCATTAAGTATATGAATTGTATACTATAAAACTATTTAGTTTTGGTACGAGGGGGTCACAATCACTCTAAGCCATTAAATGTGAAATCCAAGATATCGAAATATATCACTACACTATAAAATTTTTATTTTAAGTTTTGTGTTTAGTTAGTGACACATTCTTAACCACCCAATTTCAAATCTAATGATCAATAATGATTGTGACCTCATTACACCATAAATAAATAATCTTATTAAATACATTTTCTTGAGTATATACGTGAAATGTCAAAAGTCATGGCCTTCTTTCTCCATTTTTTATCACAAATTTGATAATGTTTATGAGACCAAAATATTTCCGCATATTCTGATATGGAACTTTGTCCCTTGTCTCCTATTCATTTGAAAATCGTGATTTTTTTAATCGATTTTTCATAAGGATTGTCTACAGAAAGACCATTTATCTTTTGTACATGGAGGTCATAATCATTTATACTTATTGGATGACACTCTTACAACCACACAATTTGATATTTAAAGGATAATCATGATTGTGACCTCTATGTACAAAAGATAAATAGTATTTTTGTAAGTAATCCTTTTCTCATATGGGATTGTATACAATTAGATCATTTACTTTTGATATAAGGAGGTCACAATTACTACAACCATCCGATGTAAAATCTGATAGCTTAAATGTGTCACAAATTTCGAAAAAAAAAAATTTTGAAGCTTGATCTTGGTCAATGGAATAAGTGCAGCCATCTAATTTCACATTCAATGGTTAAGATTAATTGTGACCACTTTGTACCAAAGATAAATGATCTTATTGTCTACTTTTCATTCTCGTATTGGCCTCATATTTTCAATTTTTTTCATATTTTTATTTACCTACATAAATGAACCATTTTCCTTATTTTCATCCTCTGATGTTCTTTCTTACCTTCACATATTGACATTTCTCCATATTTACCATTCTTTCGTTTTTTCCTTTTTCCATGTTTCTCATTCTCTCATGCTCTTTTTAACTTTCATAGATCGATGTAGCAGGCAAGCTTTCTTTTTGAGGAAAAATTACATGATCCCCTAGGCCCGATTACAAGATGCTCCACAAGAGATTCCCATACAATACCTTTTAACTATTTTTTTCCCATTCTCCTCATAATATTTTTCCATCATTCTCTTTTTTTTCAACAAGTATATTTTCCATCATTCTCATCCCCAAAATGCCCTTCTCTAGTAGCATAGCAAAAACAAAAAGAAAAAAAAACACTACCCTATTAAAAAGGGGACGGTTTTGGTGATTAAGCATACTCACCCAAACATGTGTGTACCCGTATGTGTCAAAAAAAAAAAAAAGTCAAAATTGATGAAAAAAGGTGCGGACAAAATTTATAAAAGTTCCGAGTTTTTTTCAATTAAACAAAAATTAAAGTATATTTTTTTATAATTTCCCTATTTTAAAATGGATGTTGGACAAACATATTCTAAATAATATAATTTTTATTTTGTAAAAAATGAAAACTTCAAATTCATAATCACCGTGATAGTCACAAACCCTGCATACCACTCTTATCTTCCATGATTTCTCTCTCAACACGTCTTCCCCTTCATTGTGGAGAGAGGATTAGAGAAAAAGTTAGGGAAGAGTGTGCTGTATAAGCAAGATTTTTTTAAGGAAAAGTTTATGTAAGGAAAAGTTTATGTAAGAGCGAGACTCTAAACGATCAAATTAAAGCACACATAAAAAATTTACTAGAAAAGGTGGTTTCGATGCTTAGAAATCCTCAAAGGTTAGAAAACATAGATTTTAAAGGTTAGAAATAGTGCATCTTGTAATGCATTTTCTAGACCGTTAATTTTCAATATTTTCAAGTGTTAAAAGATTCGCTCGATTTACACTAATTTTAAAGCTTTAAATTTTATAATTAATGATAAAATAAATTTTCAGGCCATCACAAAGATTTTCAGTACTGAACGACTTTCGACACTATTTGAAGGTGCGCCTTACTTTCACCACCCTGCTCAAACTGAGTAAATGACAGCTATTATCTGGGACAGTAGCAAGAACAACGTGATAAAACAGTCACCAACAGGAAGAGCTCGATGAACAATTAAATATGAATAATTAAAGTGGCCTGTACTAACCACCATGATGTCATGTGCAAAGGTGAGGAGGGAATTTTAAAATTATGGCATCGCAGACTTTCCGAACCAACATACAGAGATCATCTAGTGAATCCCATACAGAGATCATCTAGTGAATCCCATTCTTATTTGATGCCTTTGCCTGCATTTGACTGACTCAAATGAAGTATAGCCCAGGACCATTTCGCTGGGACTTAGGCTCATGGGACGAGGGTTAGTTGAGTCATCTGGCAGGGGAAGATTCCAAAAACACAATCTCTTTGGAGGCTTTGGAGTGTCTTTGAAGAAATATGGCACTGAACTTATAGCTTCTTGCCTGCCCAACCTCGCTTTACAAATTTAGCAGGAACCTAACGAAATAGCAGATACATTGGCTAGGGAGGATACACACAAGTCAAATCTGATAGGTAATTAGGCAATTTTGATAGAGGCCTCATTTGTGTATGAGAGGAATCTCATACATGTAAATTTAATTTTGATAAGATCAACGACATACCACCATTCAAAAAAAAACATGACACAATCTAGACCTAGTCGAACATTCATGGAGCTCCTTCTCTACATGTGTGTTGTGTCAGCACATGCAAACTGTGGTTAGTGAAAAATCAGCCAGCCTCTCATTCCCAGCCAGACTAGATCCCTCTCTCAACCAACAGCTGAAAAAATTCTCCATAACACTGCTAAATTCACTAATTCATCAAAAAGAATATCCCTACTAAATCATTAACCCAATTGACAGCTAAACCTATAACAGAAATTTTGTCAAATATTCACAAAATTGGCCATCCTTCAACTCAGATATGTACCTACAACCATTACTATAGTTATGCCTGTAAATTAAAATCACTCGTTATTTCCTATCAAAGATAACAAAGAAGAAGAGAAGAAGAAACTTCAAAAAAAATAAGAGAAGAAGAAGAATAAAATATCATCAATAGCTTTCATTTAACTAAATTTCATCTTCAATGAAACCATTTTTTACAAGGAAATCATGCTATTTGCAAGTAACTAGGCATACCAGTTCAAGAATCTTCTTGGTTAACCCGACATTTCAACTTCTCCAATGTCTGGAGAAGTTCCTTCGCACCCGTAACATCCTCCTTTTCCTTAATATACTTCACAAATGCCTGCAACTCCTCTTGTTTCGTTCGCAACTCAACCCGATAATGCGATTTCAAAGCAATGCCCTTAAGATAGCTCAAAGCCAAACCCGTATCACTGTTCTTCAAATACCATTCCATAAACATTACTAATGTCTTACAATTGAGTTCTCCTCTCTTTGTCGCTTCTTCCTTGACTGCCTCAGCCTCTTGGATCATATCTCGCCTCAAATAGACCCCTAGCAACACATTAGTTAGCCTCATGTCATAGCTGGAACAGTTCTTTTCCCATTCATTAAACAATTCCTTGGTAGCTCCAAGATCGTCTAGTCTTGCCAATGCTTGAAGCATCACCAAATAGCTCAAGTTGGTGGTCTTGGAGAAGGCCGACTTTAATTGCTGCCAAATTCGGTGAACCTCTGCTAAATTACCAGTCCCTGCATAAAGAGTAATGAGGAAATGGTAAGCAATCCTGCACCTAACCATATGTTTTTCCTCCACTAACTTTAGTGTGGCATTTGCCTTGTCAAAAAGGCCAGCCTGGATAAAGATAGCAGCGAGATTAGTGTGGGTGGTCCAGTCACTAATGATTTCCCCCGTCTTTATCATCTCATTCACCACCCTCTCAACCCCTTCCATATCTTTCATCAAAGCATAGCTATTCATGAGGATATTACACGTAAATGTGTCAGGTTTTTTGCCATTTTCTTTCATATCTTGCAATAGAGAAGGCACTTGCTCGGGATGACCGGTAGTAATGTAAAGGGTCATCATGTTATTGTATGCCAAGGTTAAGTTCGTATTCAGTTCCTTCATTTTAGAGAAGAGGGCTTCGGCTTTTTCAGTGAGCTTATCCTTGCAGTAACAGTTGAGAAGAGCTCCGTAGGAGTACTGGTTCTTTGCAGAGTGCGGGAGGCCCGTGAAATAACTCTCTGCTGATTCTAGGCCTCGGGTTTTTGACAAAAGGTCTACGCGGATTGCATAATCACCGTAAGATAAGTTCATTCCCCGTTTATCCATCCATTCAGAAAGCTGCCAATAAGGGAAGAAAAGAGAATATTGGGAACAATCACAAAATAAAAGAGAATTGTAGAAAATGAAGCAACAGATTGAAATTGCCGATAGTACACCAATATATTAATTTTTAGAAGATTTGAAACAATAAGGTCCGGATTGTGATGCCGAGACCGTATCCCAGAGCAGAAAATAGGACATTTAGCTCATAATCACCTGTGCAATATAATGCATAAGCTTGCACCGAAAAAGCCGTGCAAATATGAAGTCCAGAAAATTTGATAGATATCCAGTAACAGGTGCTAATGTATAAGCGTCAAGCATGTCGCTGCAATTTCCTTGCATATAAACAAAATGCCCTTAAGCCGCACTACACATTTGCTTTTTCTATAATTGGAATATATAAGACATATTCCATCACCCCGGGGTGGGTGATGCTCAAACTTGAGACCTCATGTCACATCATTGGAGCAATATGCTGGTAATACTAAGACTAGATGAGCAAGATAACACCACAATTGGATTATATGGTGCAAAGTGAACTCTATAACACACAACAAATATGTGTGCCTCCTTGCTAAACTGAACAACACATTACCGAACAAAGTGGGGATTTTCCAGTTTCCTCTTCCTGGTAAAAACCCATCTTCCCTACTAACTTATCTAGAAGAAATTAAAAAATGTACCCTTGTAAATTTTAAGGTATTGACAGAAAAAAGGAGAAAACAGTTCCTTCCTCTAATACTACAAAGAAACTTGCACAAGAAATCTTACGATGTCACTTTTAGCAAAACCGATCTTTCTGCTGTAAACTTAAAATGGGTATTTATATATATACAACCAATATCACCCACTAAATTTTAAATGAGAGACAAGGGGAGAGAGGGAGGGAGGGGAATCTACCAATTTGATGGCTTAGGTATGTAAGAAAGAAAAGTGAGCATTGAGTCTCAACACACACTTTCCCTTGATGCTATTTCTACAGGAAATAACGAAGCAGAACTAAGTTTCAAACTTCCAAATGCTCCAAACTTGCCGAAAATCCCAAAGTGCAGAAAAAGAAACAAACCAAAGTTGACAAATGACTCTTCCTCTCGGGGTTCAATGCCCAACCAAAGAAACTTTTGTACCCAAGCTCTCAGTTTAATCAAATAAAGTCTATACAAGTTCAATCAATACAAATAGATGCATTACACTTCTCAACTAGTTGAGCTTCTTAGAATTTCAGGGCTCCAATTTAGTTACAAGTCAACCAAGAGTTCTAACCAGCCATCAACTCTTGTTCCTTTTCTTTTTCTTTGATAGTTGCCTAACATGCTTGTTATCATCCATGTGTGCATTTGCCAGCATTATTCGTTAAAAAGCTTCGCAGGCTAATAAAAAAAGTAAACAGGAAAAGAAAAAGGACCCACACACATACACATCTATTGCCCAAATTCCAGCCCTGGTTTACTTTTCAATTAAAAAGAAAGAAACAGTTTTACGACCTTGCTTTGGTGAACTAAAGAATTGGGAAAGTTAGCATTAATCTGCAGCCTCCGTGAAAGCAAGGGCAAAAATCAGACCACTTATCAGGGAGATGAAAAGAAAAAAAGAAGGCAGTTAGGTGTGTTTTCCATGTGCCATTGCAATTTCTAGATTATTGAACCAACGATATGCAAAATATCTCATCTTTACAACTGCTAATAATTTCACATTCCAGCACCACTCTCATCTCAAACTCGCAAGATAAACTATACCGATAGTAACAAAATTTTAGCTTTTCTGAAAACCACACAATAGCATCACTAGATTATAAAAACTTTTCACTTTTTGGAGAGATTTTCACTAGATACTCTTCAAGATATTACAAGATTTACTTGCTATGTAATCTTTTACAATTGTTCTTCTTCAATCAACCAGATTTCAGAAAACGTCCCCTGTAAATTCAAATTCACGAGCATTTCACTTCACATTCAGATCATATATCAGCTATGAGAGCTAACTTTTTTTAGAACAATGAATCAAAAAATTAACTTTTTTACCAGGATATAAAAAATTGCAAATAAAAGAAAAACTCGATAAGAAAAGAGGAAGTAAAACTCGTTCAAAAAACAGGAAGTACCTCTAATGCATGGTGAAATCGCTTGAACTTTCGAAGCTCCTTAATTATCCGCTCAATTTCCCATTTTTTGACTGCTTTTCCTTCTCCTACCCATCTGGTGAGCTCTTGGCCTGCGCTCTTAGAGGAATCCCCTAGAGCGGACAGCCTCCTGTAAAGAGTTTTCCCTTTGCTCTGCTTTTTAGAGGCCGTGGCCACTGCGTTCTTAGAGGAATCCCCTAGAGCAGACAGCCTCCTGTAAAGAGTTTTCCCTTCGCTCTGCTTTATAGAGGCCGTGGACACTGTGCATAGAGCTCGCATGGCTCTGGTGTACAGCCTACTAGGGTTTCCCATTGCTCTCTCTCTGTCGCTAGGATTTAGGGTTTTTCACCTTATAAGGTCTACATGATCACATACAAAAATGGAAGCACACTGTAGCGGAAGCCACCCTGAGCAGCACGTTAATAAATTGAACTAAGCTCAAAGTTCTAACAATTTCTTTTTTGAATTTTGTCTCTCAGATTTCACACACATATTGTCTCTCAGATTTCACACACATACGCAAGTAATTGTTGTGACATCTTTCTACCAAAAATAAGTGATCTTATTATATACAATTCCATAAAAAAATTGAATTTGTACAAAGCAAAACAAACAATATAGTCAGCCATTTTCCTGAAATCGACGGTCCATTGGGGGTACATAGGGCAGGGACCTTCAAAAACTAAAAATTAAGTTGGTAAAAATTTGTTCATTTGTTTATTTCAACTCAAAAAAATCTCTCATTATTGGCATTTGGAGCATAGCTTTAATTAACTAATGGGGTTATATACTATCGTATTATTTACATTTTGTTATAAGAAGTTCACAATTAGGAGGGGTAAGAGGTCGGGTAGGAACCCACACCCGAAATCCATAGATGAGATCCATACTCAATTGGGTCAAGGATATCTAGACCAGTACCTAAACTTGGAATTTATTTGGAGGACTTAGACCCGACAGATTATAGATAGATAAATAAAAAGTTAATTAAAAATTAAAAATTAAAAAATTACCTAAAAATGTATATCCACAAGTTACTAAAAATTACCAAAATATGTAAATAGTTAATAAAAAGATTTGAGCAATAATTCATCGAGCTAAAAAGGCAGTATTATCTTTTTAAAAAATACTATTAAGTTGAAAAAACAGATATACATAAACTCCGTGATAATTCTGTAATAGCTTTAAATATAAGTGATATATGTATTATTTTCTCAAAAAATATATTCAATTAATATGATTTTTATTTTTAAAAATAAAAATTCTATTTTCATAATCACCACAATAGTTTAGATTAACAAATCTAAAATGGGATTTGATTGGGAGCCGCATACATTCCCTCTCTCATGAGCAAGTCTTGACGAGGCGGAAAACTCTAGGCCCCTACCGTAAACCTCCCTGTGAATGAATTGGTGGCTGCTGTGTAAACAACTCTCTCACTCCATACTTACTGGTCTCTCTCTTTCACTACATGGTTACCTGCTCTCTTTCTCTCTAACTGCCTTCATGGAGGTCATAGCCACTCACCCGCTAAATTTCCATGTCCATTCACATTTGCAGCACCGCATAAACCCCCTCTTCAACCCCAACTTTCGAATTCGCCTTTCCCCTATTCGATCCAAATCTGTATCTCCTCTTTCTTATTGCTCCTGTTTTTAATTCTTTAAGGCTCTTATTGTTAATTTTCGTTAATCTGATTAATTGTTCTTCTGTTGTTACACTTAACCTTCTCTTTCTTTTTCTGTTACAGATTAATGATAGCGTGTCGGTTTCAAGTGTTGCATACAAGCCTGGCTTGCTAGACGATGTTTTTCTACAGTTGTTCAGGAACAAAATGGTCCAGGTGAGACCATTGTCAACTTCATAAATCCTTGATTCTTCATATAATTACTGCCATCAAATGAGTTTTATGCACATTTCTTGATTTTTGCCCAGTTATTCTCAGTTGTGATTTCAGCATGTCATGAGGCTTGTATAATTTCCTTTGTTCTTTTCTAGTAGAGAGAAAAACTGAGATTTTTGGATCACTGGTTGCTTAGAAAGTTGAGCACTTTTTGCCTGTGTATGTCATAATCTTATTTTCTTAATATTTGTTTTTCTCTTTCTATTAAGTGCTATAGGAAGTGGGTTGGGATTCAGAGAAGCCAGGATATGATGGATTAATTGAAGTTGCGCGACGTATCATGAGGAATGGTCAAAACAATGTGCAAGTCAAGCAATCAGTGGTAATTTCAAATTTTCAGTAAAATTTGAGTCACCAATCTTTGATGAATTATTCATGCTTTTGTTTTCTGAATTATTGGTGTTTCTAATATATTGTCATATAGTTTTGTCAAATATCTATATATTTGGATTAGACATTAGTACATTCGAAATAATGAGACCTTTCAATTTCGTAGCATAGCTTGGAAACAGGAAGCTCAACTTCCTTTCATGGTTATCTTTTCCTCTTGACTATATTATGAATTCCTTTAGTTCAAGAATTTTGAATGTGTGATTCTTTCCATATGGAAGGTTCGGATATTGAGATCATTATTCCCACCGTTCTTACTAGAACTCTTCCAATTGCTCATTGCTCCTATAGCAGGAGGGAAGCTGGCTGCCATGATGATTGGTAGGTGCTATTTATTTTCTTCATCCAGCATTTTCTTTTTAAAATTTTCTTGTTGTTATATTTGTAATCTGTAGTTCACCATTCAACCAGCTTTCAGTATCTTCTTCATAGTTGTATTTAAAATTTTGATAGCTGTTTTGAAAGTGTCATAATTGAGTATAAGCAATAGTGATCCTTTTATGGTGCTCACTGAAATTCTTTGTCTTTTGAAGCTCGGGTGACCACACTTACCTGTCAATGGTTGATGGGCCGTTGCACCATAAACTCCATTGAGCTTCCAGACGGATCCTCTTGCAGTAGTGGGGTAAGAATTCGACGTGTCTTATTGCACTTTGATTTCTCGCTGATGTTATCTTGTATCATTTTAAATTACTATTACAACGAGAAGAATAAAAGCAAAACAAACTGACCTATTTATTACCTTCTTGTTAGCGTAATTTATTTGGGCTTGTTGGTTCTATATTGGTATTCATAATTGACAGTAGACATTTCTGTGATGTAAATATGCCTCTTTGCACATCTTCATATGTGTTTCACGTGTGATCGATCTGCTCAGTAGTTTGTATGGCATTACTATTATATAAAGAATAAAAGAAAAAACCATTTTCAATAATCTCAGTGCATGAACCTCGTCATAGTTTGTATACATTTAGCATTTGCTAGTACTCTGCATTTTGAGAAAAGAACTAAATGGCCGCAACCTTCTACGTAAATAACCAGGATACTTGGTTAAAATCATTTACGTATGCCCCCTTGAGCACCTATTTCGTAACTCAATGAGTACCCATCTGATAATTGAACATTTGCTTTTACATTCTAGAAGGCTACATTTATTACTAAGATTCTATCTTGGGTTTGGTGTTCACCTTAACGATGATGGTTGGATCTTTTTAACAGTAGGGCATTGTCTGGTCTCATGGTTTGCAGCACCTTTCTTTTGCATGTCTTCAAGAAAACCTTCTGAGAAATAACTTCTAGATGTGATATCCTCACGAGCTTCGGAATGTGACCTGAAATAGCCTGTATATGTCATCTGCATTTGCTGATCTGTATTTGAGCTGCTATTTGAGGCGTTCATCTTGGTGGGCACACAAAAACCACGGTGGAGATTCTTTTGGTAAAGAAAACAGAAAATAAAATAAATTTATGTTGATTTTCTCTCCCCATAAATAAACCCAGGAACAAAGACACTCAAAAAATATATCCAACAACAAAGAAACAGAAAAACAAAGACAAAAGCGAAAACAGCTATTTGTCATGATTCCTGGATTCATCTCCACACGGTCATAAAAACTATGTTTCTGTGTTTGGAGCCTCTGTGACTTTTTTTTCCATCAAATAAACATTATATATAAAGAATCCAATCTTTAAATTTCCTTATCATTGGATGTAAAAAGTCCAGTATTCATGGTTGTTACTTGTTGGTCCATCTATGTTTCCTTGTTGGTCCATCTATGTCACACCAAACCAACAAAATTTGCCAAGGCTACCAGTTTTCATCCATGTGAATTACAAATACCCCCTTGAATCTTTTCTGTGTGAAACTGAGATAGGTCCCTTTTATATGGCCTTGTTTGATGTGTACTTTACATTTTGTTGAGTGCAGCATAGCCAGAGGGTGATAACTTCATCTTTAAGCAAATGCAGAAGTGCCATATCGGATATGAGGACTTCATGACTGCTAAGTAACATATGAATGGATCATTTTGAAAGTGTGAATAGATTCGCCAAGAAACCATGACCAACCTGTATGAGTTCAGAATTTGAAGAACTAAGAGTTTCTTCTAACAGAGAAAAGATAAGCTTGACATGTATAAGAAAGAAATTAGAAGTGAAATTTAGCATGATAAGGCTGTGGCAAAAAATTTATGAAGGAAAAATAGGTTCTAGCGCATGCTAGTGTTTTCTTTACTAAAACTTCTCATGATTTGCATGTGGTTTGCTCCATGTTGCTTGCGACATGCATATTTTTATGCTTGTAGGCTTTTTATGCTTCTTTTATCAACTTTTATCTTGTAATTCTGATTGACTTGAGTTTCATCATATCCAAACATCTTTTGTTTCCCTTAAATTGCACCAAAATTAGTCATTAATGTGTTCTTGCAGCAATAGGTGATGTAGAAAGAGACTGCTGATTCTACTGTTATAAAATCGAATATTTGTGCATGTAGGTGTTGGTAGAGAGGTGCAAGTATTTGGAAGAAAGTAGGTGCGCAGGTATCTGCATTAACACATGTAAACTGCCCACTCAGGTAAGGACCTTGAACATATAACTTGGGCTTATACAAATCTCATCATATAGTGTCAGATGAAAGTTACCGTGTGTCTGCATCCATATTGCTTCCTTCCTCTTAAACATCACTCAGATGGATTTTCTCAAGGAACAAATTAATCTCACTGGATATTGATTTAGAATTTGATTTCTACTTTTACACCGTGTATGCGTTGTAGACATTCATCAAGGAGTATATGGGTACACCTCTACTGATGGAACCAAATTTGAGCGATTATAGTTGTCAGGTATTTCAGTATCCCTCTTTTTTTGAATAATTATTTCAGAATCCATTACTATTATTGCTCATCCTCTCATCTACTACACTAAAACATGACCCAAAACAGTAATGGTTGAGCAATGGAACTTGTTACCACATGCTCACTTAATCTAAATCATGAGTGAAGAGTTGAGGAAAACACCTTGCTTGTATAGTAATTTTGATACCCTATACAAATTTTTTCCATAATTTTATACTCTGGTAAATAGATTAATATCTAGTAATTCGCCGACCAATATTTCCATCAGTTCAAATTTGGAGTCCCTGCGCCTCCTCCTGAGAATGACGAAGTACTCAAAGCACCTTGTTTGGACATATGTCCTGAAGCTTCAGGCCAGAAAAGGCGTAAGAATGAAAATGCCAATCCAACTCCAACTCAGTGCCCAAAGACATGAAATCCTCCCGCAAGGCTACATACAAGCCCTGCTTGGATGACACATCAAGGCAAAGTCATTATGAATGTTCATACTTCACTTTCTCATTGTATAGTAACTTCGATATGAAGGATAAATCTACGCATCTGTCGTGATTCTTGAGCTAACATTTTTTCGATAGAATGGTCAAGAAGACATGGTTTCTTGACAGCACAGTGTTGGTGTGGTTTTGCACTGAGAGAGAGAGAGAGAGAGAGAGAGAGAGTCTCACTGTACATCTAATTATATGCATTATGAAGAAACTGAACATTTCCCATCCATTTTGCCCACATTGTGTTCACCCCACCATCAAACATATCTCTACAGCCTTCTCTCCTATTCTTATTTGTGCAATTAATGGCTCATGGCAACCTTAAACTAACATAAAAGTGATTAAAAAACAAAAACAAAATATTGGACAAAGCGACTGATCGCTTGGACCACCACCCCTTCAGAAGAAAAAGAGAACCGCCCCCTAAATACAACCAAATACGTAGCAGATGATCATATAGATTAAACTCGCCACATTAAGTAATGTTACCCCCAACAACCACAATGTGTTAGGAGCAAATATTCATACAATAGCAACGAATCAACGATCCCAACCCGATGGCCGCCTTCTTTCTCGAGGTCTATCTCTCGAACTGTAATCAATAAAACATATTGGGTTAAAATTTGAAAATCACATGAGCTACTAAATAGCTCAAAGCTCAAAGCTCAAATGCAGGTTATTTACAAGAGAAAATTGATCAATCATAAGAATAAGCAAGCAAATGCAGCATTGTATGTGCCACATCATCTTTAGTTCAGGTATAATATAGTTCACATGATTAGGAAAACCCCAGTCACTGGGGGTTACAACAATCCAACCAGATGAAATGGATGGCGATGGAGAGACAATGGGACACACAAGAACAGAGAAAGATGGGTCCCCGCCCTGATCCAAATTAGTCCATATTTCATTGGATGGGACATGACCCCAATGTGCAATAAAGATGGGATCTTGAAAGTCAATAATTTTATGAAAAAATGCAAACCATTATTTCCCACATTTCCAAGGGATTAGTATATTAAAATTCAAACATCCAGTGAATCATGGAAAAGGCCAGAGTCCACAGGCTATCAGACTCCTTGAAATGGATCATGATGGGGAGACGGGGAAACCCAAACAATATACGATCCCATTGGTACGTCCCACTTTCTCTCCATCACCATCCATCATTTCAAAAGACAGTGATAACCTAATGGATTATGGTTTCTCCATGGTCCACTGAATCATACTATATATTTTCCTTATAAGCAAATAATTAATGCCGAAAGACCAACCTTCCAGAGCTTTGAGAATTATTTTCTTTGGGATTTTCCCCCATGGCTCCTCCTGGTTTGGACATGGAATTAGGGGCTCCACTTGATTGTGGTCCCCGTGCTTCTCCACCAATCGAACCACCAGAAACAAAACCAGCAAGCACAGGCCTATTTCCAGTGGATGTATTGGAAGAGCTTCTTCCCTCATTTTGAGAACTATTATCATCAGAGGTTGCTGCAACAAAGTTGCTCTTGAATTGTGCCATCATCCCTGTTCTAAGTGAATTCATAGCAGCTGATCGACTGGGTATTGATGACTGAGATGGAGCACTGGCTGACTCTGGATTATATCCAATGCCAAGGCCATAATCCACACCCCGAACCCCTCGCCCAGTACCACCACCACCACCACCTCCCTTCCCTTTTCCACCACCTTTCTTCCCACCTGTGTATCGAAAACACAAATACCACAAAAAGGATTACAACAGATAAAGCGAAGAAATTGATGAACTCTCAAGGATAAGCAAGTTATCAAAAATTCAAAATTGCAACTTATGAGCCACTTCATTAGATGGCATGCTTGTAATGGGACACATACCAGATCCCTTCCTTGCATCACGTTTTGCCTTGAACCTCCCATCCTAGAGTTTTGCAGAAGATTTCAATTAACAAGACAATTGCATATGTAACATTTATACAATACAATAACGAGATGATTTTCTCTTTTTCTCTGTTCTCTCTCCTTTTTTTTGATGGTTTCATGGGGAAAGAGAAAATGCAGAGCTAAAATTGCATACATTGATCTATTGAAATTAAATAAGCTCAAGAGGATGCATCCTAACACTCAAGAATAACACTTTGCCATCCCATGACAATCGAAGCATTCACATACATGAAGTGGAACTTCAAGTATGGGAGGAGATTTGCAAATAGAAAAAGAAAACAATTCCACATAAGCTACAAACTCAAACTTCGAGGACCATGCATATATTGACATCGTATAATGCACTATATAAGTTCGAATCAGAATATACACCAGTACGTAGAACATGGATATACAAACACCAACATTTATTGAATTAAGATACAGCCGAATTAAAGTGATCTCCCCACTTGCATTATCAATTTTTCATAACAATTTCAAAGTAAGCCACCCAACGCATCAAGAGACTACCAAAGGAAATGTGCCCAATGCATAATATCACAATATCAACGGTGTTATAATTTCATTTCAATCAACCAACACAAGGACAAACACATAATTAATGCTCCTAGACTAGCTAGAACCTCAAGGTTCAGCAATTTATGGAGTTTTACATCTTCGAAGCACGATTTCAAATTTTGAAAACTACTTTGCTTCAGCAACTTCCAGAATTTGAGGATATGGAGGCTCACAGGGAGACAGGCAGTCTAGGTTTCATAGTTAACCTGATAAAACAGACGAAAAATGGCCCCAACATGGTCTTATCTTTTGTTATTTCTAAAATCACATGATATATGTTTATTCTAAGGAAACGCCCTAGAACACACTTGCCATCTCCCAAGTAAGAAACGCATTTGGCAGCCTAGAGGATATAGACGCCCATGTCTTTTGAACACCACCAAGTGATGACCACAAGAATAATTTACAGTGCAGGAGGGTGATCTATGGGCAAAGAATGAATAAAGTAAACTAATTGAAGACCTCAATTGGGGCACTTTGGGCAATCTAAAAGTGCCCAATCTGAAACATAATATCCACATCCCACACCAAGAGCACCCAATGTTCCTTAGTAGTTCCTGAAATTTCTGCCCAACGATATGGTTTACATTGATTTGTTGAGCAACAAATTTAAGGTTTGTTTTTTTTTTTGTGTCCTTCCCTCCCCTAAAGCAACACAATTCGAGGAGTTGAGCAAGAATGTAACACCCTCATCAAGCACAAACTTCAACCAGAATGACTATCTTCCAAGCACCACTGGCCAAGCAAGTAATACCCTTGATGTCAGCGAGGTTAATTCTCTTCTCCTTCTATTCCTTATTGATTAATGAATGCTAGAAATTTTAAAGCTATGAGGCTTCTACTAGAGGTTTCTAATCTCAATTCAACAAAAGGACTACCTAATGCCCCAATCTCCACTAGCATGCCAGCCAACATCAATCACATTGACACCCTTCTTTGATGGATAAGCAAGCCACATCACAAAATAACTAAGACAAACACCCTCCTCTATCACTCATTACTCCAAATCACTATCACTATCAAGATCCCCATAGCCTACTCTTATCCAAAACCTAAACCACCCCTAGTACCATCCCCAACAAGAAAATTTTATGACTTTATATTGCTGTTACTACCAATTTCAAACATTGTCCTTAATTGCATGCAATCAAAACATCATCAGTTGTCAAATCCACCATGCTTAGAGGCTTGTTTAACTTGGAATCATCCATACAGATAATTCCAGATAAATTTCCACAGCCATTTCAAATAAAAGTGTCCCATATCAACCTGAGCAGAGTTGTCTATGCTACAGCTATAAAAATTAATCCGAAACAAAGCCTGCTAAAGTGGTGCTGCCAGTTCCAGCAAACAGAATCTCAAAGAAAATCTAAAAAACTGGCTGTCATTCCTTGAGTAAAAATCCCATATCTGCATCCCATATGAACTCTCGGACCAGCAGATACTCTTAACACACAGTACCACAACCTGCTGACAGTTGCGTCAACTCCTTTACTACCCACTACTCGAGAAAGTTATTAATTCAGCCTATGGAATCATTGTACTACTAGCATGCTTTCTTACTTTGACATAGTTGCTTAGGGATCATAACCAATATGAGGTCATTTCCTTCTTTTGCCAATGACATATCCTTGCCATGTGGCAGCTCCCACCTAACCCTACTACTAGGATTTGGAACAATAATCAGATCACTGACACTAGCAAGCCCAATGCTCAAGCAAACCAGAAACAAGTAAGATATGGTCCAGTGGTTTTCCAAAGCTTGCATTCTACCAAAAAAAATTCAGAGCAGAGAAAATAAAACTGCAAGGCATATATCATAGCTCTGCTTTTGTGTGTAAGAAGTGCATGTTTAAGGAAGAAGATTGCATACAGAGTATTTTGAAAATTATTCTCAAAATATGATTAAAACAGTACTAACTCATACTTCCATATGCATGCCTCAATCTACACACACACACACACACACAAAGATTCATGGAAAAAAATAAAACATAAATGATTATAAGAAAGCAAAAAGTGGAAAGAAAATTTACCTTGAGGGCAAGATCCATTAGCTCTGGAGGTACATTTTGACCAGCAGCGATCAAACTGTTGACCAGCTCTCCGGCGAAACGTGCTTCTTTCTGAGTGATAAGAGTGTAAGCTGTGCCCTCTTTATCCCCAGCACGTCCTGTACGACCAATGCGATGGACATGCATGTCCATGTCTTTGGCTATATCAAAATTCACAACCGACTTAATCGACTTGATGTCAAGTCCACGAGCAGCAACATCAGTAGCAACAAGAACATGGTAAATCCCCGATTTGAACTTCTGCAAAACCTCCATACGGGAAGCCTGATCTTTATCACCATGAAGAGCGGCAACCTTGAAACTATTCTGAATCAACTGGGATTCAATCTCATCCACCTTTGCTTTTGTTGAAGCAAACACAAGAACATCCCCATCATCAACCATGGCCGGAAGCTTATTGAGGAGCCAAGGCATCTTTTCCGCGTCAGAAGCCATTACAGTTACAACTTGGGATATATCCTCATTGGCCATTCCAACTTCTCCTACTGTAACCCTAACAGGATCAGTAAGAATCTCCCTAGCTAACCGTTCAACTTTTCGTGGCATAGTTGCTGAAAAAAGTAATGTTAGGCGTTCTGGTCTTATTTGACCAACAATAGATCTTATCTGAGGCTCAAACCCTAGATCAAACATCCGGTCAGCCTCGTCAAGGACCAGGTAAGTAGCCCTAAGCATTGTTAATGCCTTCATTTTTAGCATATCAATCAGCCTACCAGGTGTAGCAACAACTATTTCACAACCAGCCTTCAGTTCTTTGAACTGTTCAAGTTTAGACATTCCACCGTAGACTCCCGACACACGAATACCATGACATTTTGCAAACTTCTTTGCCTCTGTGTATATCTGTTGAGCCAATTCCCTTGTAGGTGCACATATCACACCAATTGGGCCCTCTTCTTTGGCAAGCTCGGGCTGGTCCATTATATGGACAATCATTGGAAGAACAAAAGCTGCAGTTTTACCTGAGCCAGTTTTAGCTATGCCAATAATATCTCTCCCAGATAAAACAATTGGTAGCGCCTGACATTGGATAGCTGTTGGCTTCTCATAACCATGTTTGGCAATAGCATTCATTAGAGCAGAAGAGAATCCACAATCTTCAAAGGATTTAATGGGCCTAGGGACATCAAAACCTGAAACTCGGATGGCTAAACTCTGTTGATATGCAGCAACATCCTGCTCACTCATGCCTATAGAATCAGTAAATACAGAACAAATGTCAGTACAGGACGTGGCCTTATGCATCTAATCAATCAACAGGAAAAAGCATCAATGAAGTGAAGGTTTCTTCAAAGCATTAATATTTTAGAAGAAATGAAAGCATCCATGGGCATTCCATTCACTTGGACCCAAACTCACAAGATGCAGGTAATACAAATGTTTAAAATCACATTTTACATGACCAATCAAGAAAATAACTTTCAGATTTAACAGCCAAGTATTATTGTATTCTAATGGCAAGACTCAAGAGGATAAGCAATCGTACTGTCAATGTTTTAAAAAACGGTCCGCCTAGCGCCTAGGCGGCCTGGACCAAAAATCCACCCGCCTAGACCCAGGCGGCCCTACACAGGCGGATGTACCTGAGCGGGCACCCAGGCGAGCGCCCAAGGACGTAAAGTGTTTCTCGTTTTTTTTAAAATACAGGGCGCCCAAGGTTCTAGGCGCTGGGTGTCAAGCAGACCGCCTAGCGTTTTTTGAAACCTTGCGTACTGTATATTCAATGATACTTACTTAGGGCATTTGATCATGTATGCTACCCATTAACCTGGATTGTAGCCTGATGAGAATTAACAATACTTTTTACATAATTTCCTCATTTGGAGCCTCTTTTACAGTGGTGTCGAATTAAAATTTAGAAAGCCATAACTCCAAGGATTTCTTTTTCTTTTTTTCTTTCTTTCATTTTTTTACCCCCTTCCTTCAGTCTTTTCCAAAGACCAGAATATTTTGTGAATAACATGAATGATTCACAAAATCATAGAGATTTATTTGATTGGCAGTCATGGGTTTGTGCCTCCTGCCGCATTTGTGAGGTATTTTTTTCTCACTTCAGGGAAGTTCTCCTTTCGAGTTAATTTTTGGTTTCCATTTAGTTGTATTTTTTGATCAAGCAGATGCATGGTTAAGTTTCAGTGAATTACGTTTATAGTGGGTGTATTTTTTGTTACAAGGAACAAATAAAAAGGAAAATTATACTCTAATCAAATGGACTGTTGAAATTCCGTACTCCGTTAGGCTATCACCATCAAATGAAATGATAAATGATGATTGAGAGTGAGTGGAACCTACCATTGGGGTCATGTCGTGTTCTGAGGAGGTCATGGGTGTAGTTTTCTTTACAATGAACAAATAAAGAACGGAAGTATACTGTAATCCAATGGACTATTGAAGTACCGTACTCAATTTGGTCATCACAATCAAATGCAATAATAAATGGCGATGGAGAGTAGAACCTACAATTGGGTCCATGTCTTTTTCTGATGAGGTCCCACTCTACCTTAATAATTGTTAATCATTTCATTAGATGGTGAGGACTATCCATAGATTGTTCATGTTCTGTAGAAAACTGAATAACTAATTCATTACTCTTATCAGAAATTTAAAATGCAAAATTGTAGGGAAGAGTTCACCAAATGAAATTAAAGAACTGAAAATTTGATTGAAAATAATTCTGGAAACTTACAAGCCAAGCTTCCTAACTATATGTTGAATTCATGACTCTAAACAAAATAATCTTCAAACTCCGAATGTAAAACTTTGCCACATCTTATCATGAATCCTAAACCTATAGTATAACTCTTGACAGAGAAGAAGGATTCACGCAGCCATCGACAAGCAATTGGGTTAAGGCTTGGATGATGATGATATGAAAACAAGGGAAGGGTACACCTCATATGTCTGGTTTGTATTATGCTGCTAAAGTGTCACAAAGGTATTCAAACTTCTCTTATCAAAAAGCCAGTCACACATGCCCAACAGGTATTAAACATTGGGGTATGTCATGGCACACGATGAGGAAACTCAAGGTATATGAATCCTTCTCTAGGACTTTGCCAGGGCAGTTCACATACAGCCAATGCAATGACAATCATTTAGGAAATTTTCCAAGCCCCTCTTGCAAATGGATATATTGATACATTCCAAGACACTATCGCATATGGATACAGGGAAACATCTAGAAAAGTTGCAAAATTTCAAGACCACCCCATTATTCGGGAATTCTAGATAATAAAACTAGAAAGCAATTCCAGAATATCATAGAGTCAGCTAATACATTGGTGGGTCATGTCTCTTGTAGCATTAAGTTCAAGAATTAATAAACTACTACCTGACATTGCAAAAAGCCAAAAATTTGGTGGGTAAAACAAATGGGAACTAGATATCTTTCACCTCGCCATCGCCCTCCAGCCTCTCGGATCTTGTAGGTTCCCCCACACTGGGAACTCTCAAGCTAAATGTTGACGGTTCCTCTCTCAGAAACCCTGGACCCTAGGGTTTCAATGGAAGCCTCACAAACCACAACTCTGACATCTTGTCCTTTTCACGGTTCATATGACATAGACACTGCCACGGCATAAACTGTAGCCATCCCAGAAAGCCCTAAACACACCTTTGGAGCCATTAACTCCATAGAATATCTAATGTGGAGGTAGATTCGAGGAATGATCTTATGGGCTGCAAAAAAGGCTCGGCTCCCTTGTCGACTGGCACACTTCTTTGATCACATATTTAAACTTTGATGGGAACCCAGGTCGCCTTCAACCTCACTCCAACAGACGCAAACACCATCGCTGACAGGTTGGCAAAGGAGGGAGGAGCTGCAAGCTTGATGTCCACCCATACACTGGCTTGAAAAATCCTACCTCTCCTCTCCTTTCCACTCTCTTTCTCCTTCTCTAAACCTCTATCTTCCTCTCATGTTCTCTCTCATGTCTCCATTCTCTCAATGTCCTCTCTCCCTGAACTAACGCCTCCCTTTCTCTCTCTTCGTCTCTCTGTTTTCCCCCACCTCTCTCTACCTCACCCAGATCTGCTTTGTTTTGCTTGCAATCTACCGCTTGTAGCCTACTGATGTAGACTCATGTTTTTTGGTTTTCTGATTGCTCTTTGGAACCTCTTTTTGTATTTGAGTTCCTGATTTTGTAGGTGGCCATGTTGGGAATTTTGTGAACAAACTTTATTATAGAAACATGGTCAACCACTTCTCAATATATATATATGGAAAAGTTTATATAGAGCCGAGGCTCTAAACAATCAAATTAGAACCCACTTCAAAAATTTCACTGGAAGGGGTTGTTTTGATGCCCAAATATCCTCAAATTGATTAATTAATCCAGTACAAACTACAATATTGAGAATATAAATTTTCAAACCATCATGTTTTAGTCCAAGCATTCAAAAGCTTGCAGGTCCTATAGTGCCACTCTTGATGTTCCTGCAGTTATGGTTTCAACTCCGCATTCATGAGTTGAACGACATTTATGTTCAATTAAAAAACAAAAATTTTCAATAGACTATCAAAACGAACGTGAACCTCTGTGGCTGGAGTTAATGGAGTATTAGTTCTTCCATAAGAGACATCAATCTTCACTTCTCTTGACCCAAACTTTCAGAACAGTAAATGAAACAATCAAAACCTACTGTATTGTATTTCACACCCAATAATGTAAAACACAACTCGTACAATCCATGTTTTATTTTTGCTCTTTTAATGGGTTAAGTTGAGAGGTTGATTTTTATCCCAATTGCAAAACCAAAAACACCCAAGCACACCCAAAATTGTTTTTCAAGAAGAAAAAAAGCAACAGTAGGAATCCTTCAATACCGCAACTTGACACACATGAGAGATAGAGATCCACATAGATTTTTAGAGATCCACATAGATTTTTAGAGAAAAATGTGATAATACCCAAAAGCACAGAGAAAACGATAACGGTTAGATAAATGTACCAGATATAGACTCCTTTTCATCATAAAAATCTTTATTGAATGGCTCGTAATCAATTTCACTGTGATCCAGAGCAGGAATCGGTTCAATCTTCTTCTTGTCAAGAACAATGGGATTGTCATCCGAATCATATTCAATCAAACCTGCATCCACTGCTTTTGCAGCTGCATAAACCTCCTCATCTGAATCATACCCAGCTTGAAGAGCTTCAGCGGCCAGTGTTAACCCCACATCCTTCTTCGCCCTCAAAAAACTCTCTACAGGGTCATCATCTTCATCTTCTTCAAACTTCGAAGGTTTCTCTTTGGGTTTAGGCGTCTCCTTAATCATCTCCTGATGAATTGCCTCCATGAATGCATCTAAGGGATCAATTTCTCCATCTCCAGAATCAGGTTTAGCTTCGTTCTCGTTCTCTTTTGAACCAGAATTATCATATTCTATATCATCCAGGTCGTGATCTTCGTAATTGTCATGGTCTCCGTTCCTTGAAGAAGGGGGAGTATATAAACGTTGAGGAGCAGAGGAGCGCTCAAAACTGTAAGTTTGCTGGCGATTGATGCCAAATCCCTCGAATCCAAACTTCCTCTTTGACATTTCCAGGACCTTTAAAACTATGACTGATAGAAGGTAAAAAACTGAAAATTAGGGTTTTAGCTAGGGTTTCTAATTCATGACGATGTAATTGAGGCTTTACTTGAGCAGAGAACCGTAACTATGGCAGTCTCTAATGAAAACTAAGGGATGATAGGAAAATCTGAGAGCCTGAAGTGTGATAGGAAAATCAGATAGACTGAAGAATGCTTGTGTAAGGTGAAAAAAGAGAGAAACCCTAAAAATTTGCAGAGAGTTGGAGGAGAGAATGCCGCGCTGGAGAGTTAGGGAGATAAAAAGTGCAATTTTTTTCCGGGCATATTTTGCTTTGCTAACCGACCTGGCCTTGGAGCTTATATAGGGGGTGGGATAATGACAAATAGATCCTTCATCTTCACTATTTATGACAAAGGTATCCTAATATCTTGGCATGAAGCTTTGAGGGAGAGAATGATGCGAAAATGCATTTTTAGTGTTTATTAGTTTAATTTGCATTCTTGTGCAGCATATATTTTATGAATCTATGGATTTTATCTTTCCTATGGAATGATGCTTAAACTTCACGGACTTGCTATCATGTGCCTCAATAAAATATTAAACAAATATAACATTAAGATATAGGGATACTTACGTACATATGAATTTCTCCTATTTGAATTTTTTAAAACATTTTAGTTTTTATTACATTCATGGCTGTTTTCATTTTTTTCACTTTTTCAAATGGCCAAATAACCCTTGAGTTGGGACTTTCAAACTCCTGAGTTATCTTAGACCCAGGGCGTGTATTTAGTACCTTGAAAGTCCTAAATTAGTATTGCGTTTAAGACCTTGAAGGTTCTAGGTTATATCACTTAAGACCTTCAAAGTTTTAAGTTCCTCCAAAACCCTGTGAACCATCTCTACCAGCCGAAGGTAGCTCGAGGAGTCCAAGATGAACTAAATACCTTGAAGGCAATTTAGGACCCAATGAGCCACCTCAGCTACAAGTGGGTGACTCCCTATGGCCCGAGAGGAACTTAGGACTTGAAGGTGTTTAAGTTCTCTAGTTGAGGACCTTCGAGGTCTTAAATTCTCTCTAGATCCCAAGAACCATCCCAATTACTTGAATATAGCTTATTACCCTCTAAGAGCAACTTGAGACCTTAGAAAACATACATTTTTAACAATGTGCAGGTGGCATACAAATGCATCCACAAGTGTAGAGGTAAGGTGCACATTCAAATTTTATCATGGTATATAATTTTGATGTAGAATGTTCATAAGAATATCTCAAAATCTATTTTTATATCTAATTATAAAAATTTAAATTTTAAAAATAGTTTAAATCGAGTAGTTTTATAAACATATGAAAATCTTGAAAATGAACAGTGTAAATAATATGTTATAAAATGCACTATTTATAAGATTTAAAATCTTTTTATTTTTTATAGTCATACATCTTGATGTCGAGATGATCAATCAAAGGGTTTTTCAATATTAAAACTACCTCTTCAATGGATTTTTTTTAAGGCATCCATGATTCTACCTTATAAGATAGCATCATTACATAAACTTTTTCCTTGTAACATTAAATTTCTTGAGGATGGCAATTAATTATACCAAAATAACTTAGGATCTTCTTTAGGGTCCTAAGTTGCTCCTCTACCTTTATAGGGTCTAGACGAGCTCAAGGCGTTTAAGACCACGTTGGAAAGGGTATGGGCTTTATTGGGATAAGAATTTGCCCATTGCACCTATGCCAGTAAACTTTATTATATTTGGGCAAGGGTGTGATGTAGGTTGTAATTTATCACATCAAAAAAGAAAATAGCATGAAACAATTAATCAGGGGCATTTTGGTAATAAATTTTGACGTGTGTCCCACCCAGCTCGTTTCTAATAACATAATGCACTAATTTACCTCGAAAATATCTCTATCACTCCAAATATGTACCCTCCGTCTCTACCTATTTGAGGACCTAGCCTAAATCCGAAGATCCCTAGACAGAAGGACGGGCATGTTATGTCGCCCCTCGTGATACTCAAGATTAGGCTTTTCGGTTGATCACTTGCTTTTTAGAAAAAGTTTATATAAGGTTGTAATTTTAAAATGTAGAGTTACATATGCATTTCAAAATTTTATTAAAAAATATTATTTTATCATTGAAAAACCCTCTAATTGATCATCTCGACAACGAAATGTATGAATGCTATAAAAAAAAAACATTTATTTTGAGTCCCATAAATAATACAACTTAAAACAAATTATCTAGACCGTTCATTTTTAATATATTAATATGTTTATATGTCTACTTGATTTTAACCATTTATATAGCTTAAAATTTATAATTAGATATGAAAATAAATTTTTAAATAATCTTAAAAATATTTCACACTAAACTATTATATTATGATAAGTTTTTAAGATGAGCTTTAATTGGATTGTTTAAGGTTGTAACCTTATAAAAATCACATCCATTATTTTTATTATCGTCATCATCATTATTGTCATAACTTTTATCAACTATTTGGGTCATTTGTATGAATCATGGTATGCTCTTTTGCTTTATTAAATATCATACATTTAATAAAGTTGTAAATCTCGTTTTTTTTTTTCTCTTTTAAAGGCATTTAAAGCTTACCATTTTTTAGTATAAGGTGGTCAAAATAAATATTTCAATTTATCTCATGTCAAGTTTTAGTATAAGGGGGTCAAAATCCAATTTTCAAGCTATCTCATGTCAATGTCGGTCATAATATTCAACAATCTTTTTTTGGGATTTTGTGCCCATGAAACATCCTCAAACCCAATTTTACATCTTAGGACGATAACTATCATGATATTATGATATTGGTGTATCAAAAGTCAATGACAAAAGTTTATATAGAGCTGAGGCTCTAAATAATCAAATTAAAGTCCATCTCAAAAAACTTCCTCATAAAGGTTGTTTTGAAGCTCAAGTACCTTCAAATTGATCATCTCGACATCAATACGCATGGTTACGAGAATAAATGGATTTCAAGTTTTGAAAATAGTGCATCATGGAATGTCTCTTTTTACCTACAATTTTCAAGATTTTAAAGTTTTTATCCATCTACTTGATCTATAATATTTTTACGCTTTAAATTTTATAATTAATAATGAAAATATATTTTACGACTGTCATAAAAAATTCCAATATTGAAACCACAATTCTCGTTACTATTTGAAAATAGGCTTTACGTTGATTGTTTAGAGCCTTGGCTCCATACAAACCGCACCCTAAATAAAGTAAATAGGCTTGTTATATGGGAACAATTTAGACGTAGGGTTGCAAATAACACAAGGGGCCTCACAAGGCCGAGTTTGGCACTTTCAACAGGGCTTCATTAACCCGGATGTGGGACTATGTTTAATGCCCATTAGCCTAATAGATAGGGCTTACATTTACAACCATGCGATTTGAAATTTGCCATACGATAGTGATTGCGAACTCTTTATATTAAGAGTGAATAATATTTTTGTATACTTTTTCAATACAACTAAATGAATCCAATCTTGCCCTTAATGGTTTCTTGATTAGTCAGTGGCAGAGGAAAGCCATGTGAATTTTAGAAGAGACGGGTCTGTGCGTCCATTGATGCACATGTTGCAGCATAAGTAGGCCCCATAAATCCATATTGGATTTGGAGTTTGGATTCCAAATATTGGAGGTCTATCAGCTAGATCACCATTATCATAAATTAAAAAAAAGGAAATCAAACCTTACAAATAATGTTTTAATGTATCACCTACTTAAAATTTTCAAACTACCGATTTTTAGTTATTAAAAGATTGATAGACCCACATTAATTTTGGGCTCTAAATTATTTCATGCAGCGGGGACTAGATTTCTGCTTTTGCAATCCTTGAAGTATAAAACATCTATCTTAAAAATGGATGTAAATAGGTAGTCCATCTAAAAATAATAAAACTAACGGTCCACAAATTATTTAATAGAAATATTATTTTAAATTTAAAAAATTGATTTATTTTTTACATTCCATGATATTCGTATTAGAGATTACATGTTCTTAAAAATTAAGTAAAAAATCCATCTTAAAAATAAATTTTTATGTGGTGATTCATATCTACATAGACTTATAGAAACCTTGTCCTCCATAGATTTGAGACTGAAGTGGAATTACACTAACGAAAAGTCCTTTATGCACGTGGGGACGCACTCCGATATTGCTTACCCAAGGCGTCGTACATCCAGATGGATGTAAAGCGGTAGTCCTTCAGAAAGAATAAAAACCAACGGCCATAAAATTTTATTTGAAAAATATCAGTTTTACCTTTTTTATTTTTATTTATTTATTAACATAATAGTGATCTCCATTTAAAATCTATCTCAAAAGTGGATCATACGCACATGGGGATATGAGTCATGAAACCCATAGAAACCTTGTCTTACACTTATTTGGCATGTATTTCGAGTCTGAAGCTATCTTATTTGGCATTTATTTCATTGTGTGACAATGATTGAGCAATTTGTTGTTGGGATTGTCTACAAAGAGACCATTTATCTTAAAAAAATTGTTTTATGCGAGTTGGATCACATTTTTACATAATGCGATCCTAAAGTATAAAACATTTATTTTAAATAAAAATGCAAATAGGTGATCTATCTAAAAACAAATGAAACTAACCGTCCAAATGATTTATTAATAAAATTATTATTTTTATTTTTTTTTAAATTTTTGTATTTATTAATATTAATGATCTCTATGAGATTACATGTCCTTAAAAATTAAGTCTAAATATCTGTTTCAATAAAATAAAATTTTAAAAAGTGACTCATTTCTACGTGGACTCATAAAAACAATGTTACGTTTTGTACATGGAGTTCACAGTTATTATGACATATTAGATACTAAGTTGGATTATCCAGAGTAAGTCATGAAGCATGAGATTTATGGGTGCAATTAATGAAAATATTGGTGCGAATAGGAAACCCAAAATAAAACATTAGTAAATCACGATTAGCCGAAGGCGGGAAACTGCGTTCATTTAAGGCGGGAAACTCCATGGCCCCAAAAAAGTTGCCGCGCTTCTCAGTGAAAACCCCAGTAGAACTGGCGAAACCCTAGGAAAAATGGCTTGCAGTCATTACATATTCAACAAAGGTTTTAAATTTGGAAGGTCCTCATTGTGAAAGCCCTAGAACTATGGCCTGCAATAGTCATATATTCCATCAAGAACCAGCCATTGAAGACCCCATCCTGAAACTTGTGGACATGGCCCGATCCATGATATCAGAAGCATTCAAGGAATCGGATGAGGATCTTGGACCTTCGTGGAGCTGGGTCTTCTCTCTAATTCTCAAGACTTGCAGAGCATACACCACTGGCGTCACATCTGCTATTCTACTATCAGATGTGTTTCAGGTTTGGGACAGTTATTTTATAATAATTATTAGAAATATTTGACATTTGGAAGTATTTGACATTTGATTTCTGCAGTTTATTTCATTATGCTTCAAGTTTGGTGCGTTTTTAAGTGGATTGTGGGGATTGATGCAATTATCAATTCATTGTGTGAAAATGATCGGGAAATTTACCGTGGTCTGTTGTTTGCTTAAAGAATGTCGCAAATGATGGTTTGATGATTTGATCAGTGTGCTTCAGTTCTCTCTGTCTTTTGTATCAAAGTTGATTGTGGTTCTTTGCATTTTAGACAATTTTCATTCATCCATTTCTCTGTTTGCAAGAAAGTTATATTGTGACGATACCCTTTACTGGTTTGATGCATTTTTGTGGTTTCTGATGCATTAGTCAATTACCAAGGACGGAAATGATATTCATAACTCTTCTATTTTTGTGATGGTGTGCTATATAATCAAAATTTTGAACCTGGAGTATCCGATGGAACCTCCAGTTGTAAAATGATTATGGATTTGCGAGTATAATAGATTAACATCACATTTTCACTTCCCACATCTATCGAGAGGCCAGCATGGTAGTATAAACACTTGCCAAGAAGGCACTATCTTTCTCTACTTCTTAATTTGGCACAACTGCCCTACTATGGTGTTGTAAAGTTTTGATCTGTATTTCCTCCATTCTCATTTATGAAAATGGGTAGGGGGCCTTCTCCCCCACTGACTTACCCAAAAAAGATACCACATTTTTACATGCTCTTTTCTGTGATATGCTGAACTACCAGAGCATCTAAATTGGCCGTTACTTATTTATGACTGTGTTGTCTTCCCTTTGTCTCAGTTGTCAATAAGGCATTGTTGTTTGTTCAATAAAAGAATGGATTGTGAGTTGTCGATTTCTATTAATGCAATATTTAATCCTTCAAACCATGAACACACTTATAAGTATCAAAGATCAATATGAGATTCTTATAATGCTGATGCAGTTTATCAGTTGGTACTCTGTTATGTTATGGAATTGATTTTCTTTGGAATATCCCAAGTTCATTGCATTCTGAGAAGTAATTGTTTTGGAAACTGATCGTGTTTCTATATTCAGGCTTGGTGCGAACAGCACAAGGCAGAAAGTTCAAGAAGGAGATTGAAATGCAAGATTGATAACAAAAAGCAAAGGAAGAGATCGAGAAACTCAAATACTGTCACTATTGATTCAATATACGAGAAAAAGTTTTTGTCTATCGAGGGTGTTTTGGAAGTGGCTATTTTGGATGCATTTAGTCTCCCAGGTGACTTCAAGCTCAAACTCATCTGGGTTTTAATTCTAAAACCCTTTATGTTTGGCTTTGTTTTTTGAAAGTTTAATTTCAATTTACCTTGTTAATGATGTTCTGAAAAGGAAGTAATGTTGGTGACTCAAAAATTTTATTTATGACTTGGAATAAGCTCATATACATGTTTTCCTTGGAGAAATTCCCAATGCAAGTCCAGAAACTATAATGTGTTGTTCTCATGTTTTATTAGCTAATTGAAATTTGAATATGCATCTGTGACTGTGTTCTATACTCACTGATGTACATTTTCATTTCTATGCATGTATATATGATTTGGACATACGTTTCTAATTATTCCAACATTTGTCAATACTAATTTACATGGCCAAGAATAATTTTGTTATTCTTGATCATCTATTTTTTGGGGAGGATGAATGATCATGTTGATTCTCAACATATTAATGCTTCATTGTCAAATTTACTTGTTTTTCATATTGTAGGTACCAACATACACATGCTTTCTTTGGGTGACGTGTGGAGCTCGAGCACCATTGACCTTTACCTACATCGCAAGTAAAGCTACCTTAAGCACGTAATTTTTGTTCCAATTCCCGAATATTCTTGTGAAGACTGCAAAATTAATTAAGGCGCTTTTTCATTTAATTTGATTGTTTGCAATCCTTATGTTAGGACTATGCAATTTATGACTCTCACAGTGATGTTAGCTTTCGATATTTAAACTTGTTTTTAGCAAAATGTTTAGAATGTTGTGTCTTTTAATTCCCAGATACTATGACTTGGTTGATCCAGAATATGGTGTCCTTAAGAAAGGCCGAGAACTATTTGTCACAGGATGTTATCTCAGGAGCACAGCTGAAGGATCTGGCCATCCAAGACTTCTACCCACCGAATACCTTGTGATTTTGTTAGATGAGGTAGCATATTTTTCATGCATTTCCTCTTTTTTTGTCTCTTTGATCTTTTTCTGGATTGATCAATGCTAGCTGTTTGTGCTTAGTTTGTGAACTACTAATTTCTTTCATTGAGCAGGTAAATTTCCTAAAAGACTCAGTTTATCTTAGAATCTGAGCTCAAAATGTGTCACGTGCATAGAGATTGTTGACTGGTTCTGTGAATCTCATGATACTATAAAGCTACATAAATTTTTAAACAACACATGAGTATGCTATTCTGAAAAATGTTCCATATAAACTTCAGCATACCATGTCGGACTGTCCATTTCTCTTAAATTGAATATTTGTATTACCATTACGGATCATGTAGGAAGAAGTTGAATAATAACTTCAGTCATGGTATCCATAGTAACCAGATCAGGTGAGAAAATGGTAGTGCTGTTGTAGGTCTTACTTGTCCTGGCAATAACATGGGCTAGTTTATGTCATAATTAGCTTGTTGCTATTTGGATTTATTCTAATTGTTTTGAAATTCAGGACTTTATCTATGGCGTTAAATCCTAATGATGCTGCTATCATTTGAGGAGCATAACTTTTTATTTGTGTCTGATCCAGTACTTCAAGTTGCATCCTGAAGATCTCTCACTTATCTATAAAGGCTGTTTCTACGGTTTTTTCATAATTCAGTTCATTAGGCATCAAATCTTAATTTAAAGTATAAGTGTTAAAATAGCAACAAATTTTAGGACTATGGTTATTGTTTCATATTATTTTTTTGTCAACAGATGGATTTATCGTTTTTCAAGTTTTATAGTTTTCTTTAAAGTTGGGATTCACATGGAAGTCCTCAAATTGTGGGTAACTAGGATTGGGTTGAATTTTAAGTTTATAAATTTCGGAATGGATTCTCGATTTTATTGGAACTTTAGGGTTTATAGATTATAAATAGAGTATTATGTGTCAAAGGTTGAATTTTTATTCTATTTTATTGAAATTGTTGCCCTACCCAATTATTGCTATATAACTGTATCCATTGTATGCTGGCGTCAAATGCCCAGATTTTTCTAATATTCATTCAAATTCTTGGGGGTACTTTGAATGCTGATGTTCATGTTGTGGACTTCTTAGCTTGTTCTAGATATATATTCAGGTTTTCAGTTTTATGGAGGATCTCTCTCTATCGAGCTTCTTTTCTGTTTGTTTATTTTTGGTTGTGTCCAACTGAATGTTTGCTTTAGTTTCTGCTAGATTCTTATGTATTTAAAAGAAGTTCTCCTTTTCTATCTTATAAATTTTGATTTTGGATGGATATATCATTTGCAATTTTGGAGAAAATATTTGGAATATTGGTTTTCATATTATTTGATTCAACAATCTCTATCTCCTTGGTAGGACCAAGATGAAGATATGATGCTTCTTGGAGCTCAGTTCTGTTCAGATTCTTTCAGTTCTATCTCATTTGAAGCATTTAAAAACTGCGCAGATTATTCATTATATGCAAGGTATAGGAAAACTTTCAAGTGGTCATGTCTTGCCTCTGTTGATTAAATATCAGTTTTTGCTTTTGCAATTGTTTCTATTTTTATCACTTTGCATTTTTATTAGCTGTGATTTGGTTTTTATTGTGAAAATTAGAAGGGTTTGTTGGGTGTAATATGGGAAAGAAGTATATGATATAACGATGATAGAGTGAGCTAGCAGATCTATTCCAAGGCTGCATTCAATTTGCATCCCAGAAGTTTGGGTTTTAACTTCTATACATCATGAAAGAATGTGGATGCCTGTGTCTTCACTTTATCGGTTTCTTATCCCAATTTTAAAATATGACCTGGTTTTGGTTTATTTTTCTTTGGTTGTTACAAGACCTTCAACTATCAACCCTGCATCACTTTCTAGGTTTCTTAAAACCTTTATTACCTTGTTCTTTGTTATTGTTCTACAGAATCGAATCAATTGGACCATTAGAGATTTTGGGTGCATATGGTTGTTTAAGGCGGAAACAGATCACTCTTGTTGACAGTGATGGTAACAAGTTAGAATTTCTCTTATGGGGTGATCAGGTTCTCCTTGCAAACCTCTTCAGGTGAGTTTTTGTGTCCTGCAACTTGGTCGTTTGCCATATTTGACTTCAACTTGTGTTTTTCTTTTGTATTTCATCATCATCATCTGAGTCTCTTCCCAACTATTAGGGGTCAACTATACGAATCTTGTTGCGCCATTCTGCTCTATCAAGGGCCACAAATTTAGTTAGACCATAAGTCATTATATATCGTTTCACTACTTCTATTTATATCCTTTTGGGCCTTTCCCTTGCCTTTTAGAACCTTCCACCAAACCAAATTGCCCCTCCTGACTGCATTGTGTTAGGTCTACGCTACACATGACCAGCCCACCTAAGTCTACTTTCCCTTGTTTTATTGCCTATAGGAGCCACCTTTACATTTCCTCCCATGTATTCATTCCGAATTCTATTAATTTTTGTCTTGCCACTCATCCATCTCAACATCATCATCTCAATTGCACTTATCCTAAGGATACATTTTCTTAACTGCCCAACATTCTGTCCCATAAAAGCATGAGTGGTCTTATAAAACTTTCCCTTCAGTTTCATTGATAATATGGCGATCACATAAAACTCCGGATGCATATCTCCACTTTTCCTACACAGCTCTAATTCTATGCCTAATATCTTCCTCAAATCTCTCCATTTTCTTGGATTATCAACTCAGGATATAAAAAATAATACCTTTTAAGTATTTCTTGGCTATCAATTTGAACTACTTCCTCGTTTCTACTCCTATTATTACTAAGCTTGTATTCCATATATCGTGTCTTATTCCTGTTAATTTTAAAACTTTTAGATTTTAGAGCATCTGTCCAAATTTCTAACTTTGCATCGACGCTGCTTCTGTATTTCATGCATTCCTTTTATTTAATTTTATGTTTCAGTGTAGGGAGTACACTTGCATTGCATAGGCCATTTATTGCAAATGCTCTAGATAGTCGCATTGACACAAGCGCAGAAATTTGTCTTGAATATGGTAGTGCTACTCAACTCTATTTAATGCCATTTATCCAGCCCAAGGAACAGGTAAATTTATATTATTGTTATATCTTGTAATAATGATATGCACGTGATGCAGCTACTTGTTCCCATTGGTGCTGCACATGCAACATCTACTTTCTTCTTGCAAGTATAACTATTGTGTTCTTGTCTTTTGTATGAAAGTGGAAATGATTTGCATGGGCACTAGGTACTTGTCGCTTCTTCACAAAGTAGACTTTCTGATTCAAGGCTCATGAATGGAACAAGTCAAAGCCAAACTTTTAAAGTCTCTCAAGTGACATTACCCTGTGATTCTCATGGTTCTCTTGACTTCAGTAATTATCCTTTCCGAGTAAGTTTATGTGTTGTATTTTTTGAAGGAATGTCTTTTGCCGATTTGATGTTTCTTTTTCTTGGTTTTGCTCTAATTTAGAATTGACTCCAGTCTTATGGTTAGCAAAGAAGTGGTTATTAAATTCTAAGTATGTTAAATCCTTAAAACTGAACCTTTGCCCTCATATTACTTTAAGATTTCATGATTATGGTATGGATTAGAAAGTGTTTATAGTCCTGAAGTACTGAGGCAAATTATTTGTGCATAAAGCAAAGGGAAAATTACAAAAAACCCCCAATAATAGATTTCCTATGCAACTTATCCCCAACCAAACTTTTTTTCTCACTTTTTACCCCAAATTATACTTTTCTAACAAATTCCCCCCAAGTAAGAAAAGGTACACTTTTTGGATGAAAATACCCTTTTTTCTTATATAAAAAATTAATTTTGGCCTGACATTCGCATAGGCTTATGCATAGTACCAAACGCTACATGGGAACAGCCATGTACCAATTAGTGGACCCTGTTAAACTAAAAAAGGTGCTGGACCACCTTCATTATCTGCCGGACCGCATATAGATATGCCGGACCGCATTTTGTCCAGGCAAAAAGTGCTGGACTGCATTGTACATTTGCTAGACCGCATGTTTATCCAGAAAGAATAGTGCCGGACCACCATGTATATCCGTCAGACCGCACTTTTGTTCATAGGTGAGAAAGGTGTGGGTAAAATCAAGGAAGGGTAGTTTACTCTTTCTTTTATTTTTATTTTTGGTTAGGGAAATTTGCTAGGAAAGTTTATTTTGCGGGAAAACGTAAGCAAAATTGGGGGTTAGTTGCATAGGAAGTCTATTTTTGGGGGTTATTTGTAATTTTCCCTAAAGTAAATAATAAATGTAGATTTGACACTTTCTTGACTAGAGAGACGTGACCTCCATCTGCTTGTGACCTCCATCTGCTTTTTATAATTTGTTTTGTTTTGCTGAGGAGCCTTATATGGATGATATTGATTCTTATAGAGCAGCTATATTGTTAATTGTGGATGCGACTGTTCTGTCGCATTTTTTGTTTTATTTCTTCTGGAACAATTACTATCAGTTCTGCCATAAGCTCTCTTCAGAAGGATACTAGCAATAACTTCTTTGCATTTTGATTCATAGTCTTTTTCTTTTATTTCTTTGCCAGACACTGCCCATGAAGACCAGATTTCTTACTTTATTTTTCTGCTTTTAACATGCATTGTGTGGCAGCATGGCTAGAACTTGCTAACATCTCACTGGCAGCAGAAAATGAATGTTGCAATCAGGCATATCAATTAATTTGGTACTATTCTCAAAATAGAGATGGACATGGTTCTTGAACTTGCTGGTTGTAGCACTTGAATCAATCAATTATTGCTGTTCCCAATGACCACCATCACCAGTGTTCGAAGACTAAGCCGAGTCAACCTGGACTCGATTGAGTTACTCGGTCTTGGCAGGGTGCTGAGCCAAGTTTAGCTGTGCATACTTGCTGGGGGGTAACCTGTTTTGCTCAGCTGCTTTTACAGCTTTATGCTGTATCTTTTGGCCATTTTGGTCAGTAATTGATCAATACAATTATTTGTTGGGTTATATTAAGCCCTATTGTTGATCAAAATCGAACATTTGATTAATGCATGGAGAATTTGTCTTTTTTTTCTTCTTCTACTTCTTTTCTTTTTCTTTGGTGAAATACACCACTTTTTTTTTGTTTTTGTTAAACCCTACTCCAATCCGTCACTGCTTAGATTTTTCTCTTATTTTTGATCTACTTTCGTCAAGGTTCTTGTTGAACGTGATTCAACCCTCTACTAATTTGTTGGATCAAAGCCTAGAATTTGAGAGATTTGGCCCAAAAATTCTCGGTTTTGGGGAAAGAAATGCAGTTTTGATTTCTGCCTCATTTTTTATCCAAATCCATTGAAATTTGGTTCTAGTTGAATATGATTTAATTCTCTTCAAGTTCCCAATACTAATTTGTTGGATCAAAGCCTGGAAAATTTAAGAGTTTGGGTCAAACATTCTCTATTTTGGGGTACTGGGTAGAATGCAGTTTCTTTGTTAAATCCTATGATAGTCTGCCAATGCTTAGATTTTCCCATCATTTCATCCTGATTCATCTTTGTGTTCTTCATTAAGGTTTTTTTTCCTCATTTAATTGCATTTACATTTTTTGGATTTTTTCTTATTTTCTGGGCCCTTTGTGGACTGGAGCAGAACTTGGGCAAGTCCACTCGGACTTGCCTGAGTTACCGGCTTGGGCAAGGCTGAGTCCTAAGCCTGAGCCGTGTTTTGAAAACTTGACAGTTACTGATTTGTTTTGTGCCGTTAGATTGAAATGGAATCTTCTTCTACCAAGTCACCTTGTCTTATATATATTCTATCCTGTTTAGCTCTTCTTAGTGATGAGGTGAAAATTTGACCGGAATTGCAGAAAGAAATCCCTGCTATCGAAGACCAATCCCACTGAGAAGAGTTGAAATGGTTACAATGAACATGCTTGGCTGTTCTCATGACTTTCATATCTGTCTCTTCACATTTGATAGTCCCTTTAGTTTAACATGGACACATGGACCCACCCATGTTCAGCAACACACATTACAGATAATACATAATCCTGATCCTGATCCACATCATAATGTCCATACATTTATACATGCATCTGTATATATATAAAGTCTGAGCCACTTTCCAAGTATAATACAGTACTCTTGGCTCAAATCTTTTTATTTTTAAATCGTTGTTTGTTTTTAGACTGCATTCCATGTGCATCTATGATTGAGTCAAATTTGTTTCAGTAACTGATTATATTGTAACCACTAATTAATTTTGTTTCAGCAACTGATTTTAATGTAACCGCCACCAATTTCTTCTAGTTTATCAATTATTTTGGTGTCTTAGGGTTATGACTATACTTTTTTATAGGCATGCTCTATATCCATGATTTATTATTATATGGAGCATGCACCGTTTTGTACCTTTTGGAATTTTTTGACTTGCATACTCTTGCTGTTAATAAATCGTACCATATTCAAAATGTGCAGTTATGTGTGGCTGATCTTAAAGAAAGGATGACAAATATCAGCCTGTATGGTTATGTTACAAACATCCGCCAGGAGCTCAACGGTGAAGACATCATATTTTCCATGAACATTAATGATCATACAGGCACTATTGCTGCAAAATTACATCTTATTGGTTCTCAGTATGTTTAAGTGATATTCCTGCTCATGTCTTTATTATATATTTATCAATTAATCGTCAATTGAACCAATGTATTCTTTTGTTGTTTTCATATGAGTCTTACTGTGTTATATTAATCCAGTGAGAAAATACATGCATTTGGGGTAGGTCTGCTAATCAGGTCAGACCAGTCCGCTGGACTCGTGGCCTGGCTTGGACAGCCCTAAAAGTAAGAGGCACATGGCGTGAGCCAGGGCCTTGCTTAAATTATTTGGGCGAGGGCCCGAGCCTGAGCTTAGCGATATAAGTTTAGGCAGGGCCCAGGCCAAGATTGGACTGGCCCGAACGTGGCCTATTGGCAGCCCAAAAGTGTAGGACTTACATCTGGGATAGGCTGGCCTGGTATGTAGGCCATTGGCCTTGGCACTGTGCAGGCAGGGCTTGGCTAGCCCTACAAGGCTCATAGTCTAGGCATGTCCTTGCTTATTATTAGGCCCTGTGCTGAGCCAGGGCGTAGCCAGGCGTTCGGCCCAGGCCCAGGCCGACCATTGCCTGCCTTGGTTGACCCATTGGCAGCCCTAATTAGAGGGATTCTCTCTTTCTCTTTGAGAGTGTCTCTTAACAGGAATTCTCTAGATTCCTTTTCTCCTTTTCCTTGCTCTATGGGCAGCAATGAAGAGTGTCTATTTTTTGTTTTGGTCTCTTTTTTTGTATCTTTCTTCATAAGAATAAAATATTTTTATATTAAATTCATATAGAAATGCTAGTATTTGACATGAATTGGAATAGTTCTTTGATAGCCTTTCTACGCTTCGTGAACATTGTGATTTTTGTGACTGATATTTACCGTATTTCCAGGTCGTTTGGCCAGTTGTCCAATGGCCACATGGTATTTATCTCTGGACTGTCATGTTCTCGGACTGCCCAAGAATTGTGAGTCATACAAATTCATTATGTATTATATTCTATTTTTCTATTCTTGTGTTCCATGAGCAGGATATGGTGTTTGTCTCTGGGTGGATCGCTTGATGCCAAATGGGAAAGCTTTCCTCTCTCTTTACAATGGGCTGTTATTTTGTTTTTTTTCATGCATTGATCATTAACTATCATTTGGAGATGGTTAAATTGTGTTTTATGAAGATGCTCCAGCCAAATATGGCTACTAATTATATAATTTTTCTTTTATCTGAGACTGTTTGAAGGGATTGTACATTATTTATCTCATTTCTTGGTGTCATGGGATCCTTTTTGTCTCACAGGCTTGAAGTGTCATGGTTTGAGAAGGATTGTAGGGCTTCTTTGGTTAATCTGAGTTGCTTGCCAGCATTATTGAATTCCCCTTGTCTCCATAAATTATCCATTCTTTCTGATCTTGCAGACCGGCCTGATATGATGCATGTATGCTCCTTTAAGCACAACTTTCATCTGTTCCATCATTCAAAACTATAATATTTTTGCTGTCTCGTTTGTTTGTATCATATCATTTGAATAATATATTTGGTGATGCATGCTTTTATCTTATGGTAAGTCATTGGACAAAATTATATTGAACGGTAGCTTGAGAATTAATTCAACCACTTATACATATGAGGTTTTGCTCCACTGTCTTATTCACACTCATTATGTTGGTCACAGAATGCCAATACAATTTGATAGAGTAATTAAAAACCTTTTTCGTATTCTCTGTGAACTCGTTCTACCTGGCCTTACTGGTGAATGGAATGTGTGAACATGTACTTTTATTCTCTTTTGTTGCAGTACTTGTAGAAAAAGTTAGCTTCTAAGAGGATCTCTTTCGTCATCTGGGAAAGCTGTGCTTTCGTACTAGGTGTTAAAGCATATGAATCAAACCATCTCATTCTGTTCTCTAAAAGTTGATATGACATCAATTCTCATGGTGACCAACCTCAGGTAAAGGACTTTCGCAAAAGACAAACCTGGAGTGAGTGGCTATGTCATTGGAGAAGAACCCATTGAAGAAAAACCCTAAAATGATCTAGCTCTTGTCTCCTCAATCCAGTAGGAATCTGCATCTCTGTATTATCCTAGTTTTACCTCTCTCTGCCAAAATTGTGCAACCCTCTACTTCTTTCTCCGTATTTTCTCAAATCCCATATTTCCTTGTAAAATGGTGAAGCATTTATCTTCCTCAGCCAAGTTGGAATGCTTCTTGCCTTCTTGGAGCTAACATCATCATCATCATCACCATTATCATCTGAGCTTATCCCTTCTACTTGGGGTCTTATCCCTTCTACTTGGGGTTGGTTACATGAATCTTGTTTTGCCATTCCGCTCTATCAAGGGGCCATACCCTGAGTTAGATCATAAGTCACCATATAAGGGCCATCACTTGTTCCCTTTATTTAGCCTTTGGTCAGCCTCATATTCATCATCTTTAGACCTTCATGTATGTTCGCTTCCACCATGGATTATGGAGTGTAATGTGCGAGGTGCTGGCAGTGTATGTTTCACTGGTTTGGGAGACACTGTCCCATGCTCAGTGTAATGCAAAACACTCAAATAAGTCATGCATTACATCCAAAAAGGGGTTGGGACCCCTTTTTCTCCTGAACTGTACAAGGAGCTTGTAGCGCAATGGAGCATTGCGTGCAAGGCATTATGCACATAAAATGAAGCCTGATCTGTCATCTTCTGAAGTTTTAGTTGCTCCCCTTTTTCTACTGTTCGGATGTAAACGTGTTCCTACATATGTAAAATGTTTGAACATATTTTTAATAACTTTTTGCAGTATATGGATTATACCTTTTACTTCTTCTCTATATGAAAGCAAACCACTAGTTTGGCTTCTCGCACAGAAGTTGTTTCTGTATGATTTGGGACTCATCATTGCGCTATGATTGTTTTCTGAGTTTTTTGACCTCTGCATGTGCCAAATTCTTTCCTTCTGGCTATATTGCTCGTCGCTTATTGCATGTCTGATAAAGTGCACACATTGCAACACATTCCTTATTCTAAGCATTAATATTCTCAATAAAATTATTGCTTTTTTCTGGATAATTATTTTTTCATTTTTAACTTACCTTTGAATCATAAGGCAGGTATGCAAGGTTCAATTCAATCAAATAGATCTCCATGCGAAGGCAAAGTTTTCACATTCTTTATGTGGACATTTTGTGAATGAAGAATTGGACGGAAGTCCAATATGCAGCTTTTGCCTTTGTAGTTGTAGCAGCAAGTCACTTGTCTTCCATCTTAAGGTGACCCTTAAGGATAAAAGTGCCAAGGTTTTTGCACAATGTTCCAGTCAAACTGCAACAGACCTGCTACAAATTTCTCCATCGGAATTTTATGAATTGCCAGATGTAAGTTTTGTTTTTATAGGAAACTGATATCCTGTAGTTATATCTATTCTATTAGTAGTCCTGATAAGTGCCCCAAACATGTGAGAAAAATTGCTATGTTGGAGTTCTGTGCAAATCTATCCAATTTTATATTTGTTGAAATGTTGACAACTTTGCCGTTGTAAACAATTATATTAAATGTTTTCTTCTTACTTGTAGTTTTCTCTACTCATTTGTCATATAGCATTTCCAATAAGATGCAAGATATTTCATATTAAGCAGAGATGCCTCTGTATCTTTTCCTTTTTCTTTTTTTTTTTTTTTTTTCAGGGAGACGCATTTGTGAAATTATGGCCATATTGCCATCATTTACCACATATTAGCTAGAATCTGATTAAAAAATTGTCTGGTCCTTACTAGCTTTTCTGTCGCCATTTCAAGCATTTTTGTTTTTGCCACTAGCACAATCAAATGAAGTTCTTAGTGTTTAAATTCTGTCTGCCAGTTGTTCCTTTCACATCGTTAGTATTTTACGTAGGCCATTAGAAACTCTTTAAATTGAGTAAAACAATTAGGAACTAGGAAGACAAGGTAAATCAACTGTCTTGCCATAATTGAGACATCAAACTTGACGTCAGTGTCTGTTCCTGTAGTCAGTGCCCTGGTGAATCCCACCTCTTGAAGAAGCCCTTCTAGATCTCACCTATTTGAGGACTACTGCAGGGCTTGGGCTTCTATTCTCTCCTGCAGTTTTTTTCAGTCTCTTGCTTGTTAGCTTGTTATATATTTAACTATTCATTGGGCAATATTACCAAAACAGGAAAAAGAAGAAAAGGAAAAACACTAGCGTGTTGGACATTTCTTGATTGGATGCATGTTGATGGTGATGGATAGATTTGCTTTTCTGTGAAGAAGCACTCACAACTGTGTAATGACAAAATGATCCAGTATAACCACTTCCCTGCTCTGGTTGCCATTGTGAAAGTCATTTGTATTTCCTAGGAACTGTATAGTCACATTCCTTGGTCTATGAAGTGTTACACCTTTGATGTATCTTGAAGAGGATAAGCTCTGACTTGTCAGGACATAGAGCCATAAAGTTTATTTACTAGGCGTGTTCTGCTAGAAGACATATAAAAATATCATATGTTGATGAGTGATCATCAATGGGTGGAAGAGTTGCTCCATGAAGTATAGATGCCTGAATATTTCTTAAATCAGTTAAGAGCACTATTAACCATGAATAAGAAGAAAACAGTTCTAATTCTAGTAACAGAATGGCTTCAATAGTATAGATTGTGAAAAGAAGTATATGATTCTTGGATATAGGGATCCTTTTAGTAAGTGATTGTGCTGGTTTGGATTTTGGTGATATCATCATCCGTGATTCCATGTGTCTCTCACAGCATTATAGTGAACTGATGCCTAGGTAAATGAGTAATTAACAATGCTAACCAACCATGGGAGAATCCGCTATTTTTAGATCTTTTCACTGAACAGTTATCAGGTTATTATGCAATTAACACCTTGTAGGTGCTTGGATGGATCCATCAATGTAACACCGAAGCTCTTTGCCTAAAAGATAATTTAATTTAGCAACATGAATAAAGAGTACGAGATAAAAGATTTTCCAAGTGGTTAAATAACCATTTCTGTATCTCCTTAAGCAAAAGTTACAAAGCTAAAACCCAGAAAGCTTGCCAGGTATAAAATAATCATTCTTAGAACACTTTTTAAACAAAACTAAAACACATAATATTGACTATTATCATGCCAAATTTGTTAAAAAAGCCACTCCTCAAGTTCAAGATATATGGACCCTCTAAAATTAAGTAATATGATCATGTGCCTGTAAAGAAAGTTTCAGTATACTTGATTCAAATCATGGTTATAAAGGGTTTCCGTGATCCATGGCTAGATCAAGGGTTTTCATTATATATATTTAGCAGGACTTGCATTGTGAAATGAGATTGTGGATAAATAAAAATATGGTTTAGCATATAGTTTGATATGCTATCGTAGATTGAAGCTATTTTGTCCTATGTCACTCAAGTTTATGTTGCCTTGCAAAGAAAGAGATTCCTTGGCCTAAAACAAATGAGATATTTGGGAGATAGCTAGTAGTACATTTTCCTTTAAAGGAAGCTTGGCCATCTGTAAGAACCTAAAGCCGAGGACCTCGTGAGAATATACTAGTAATGGCTTGGAATTAGTTTCCATGGCTTACTTTTACATAAACATATTCCATTGTAGTGTCTTCCACATAGGATCTCCATTTACTTGGAATATATTGAGCCAGTTCAATGCATCTTATGTGGGTGGAATGTATTATGTATATAATCTTTTGTCACAGAGGTAAATAGATAGGCTGATTGATCCATTGAAGTATAACTTATATAACACCATAAGGGTGTGCTCTCCCCAACCACCATTTGGTATTTTTATGGAATGGATGAAATAACTGATACTGTGGAAAACATTCAAATGAGAAGATTTAATTAAAAAAATCTTATCTATTTGAAAATAAAGAGTCGGTTTGTCCTTATCCCACAATTTTGTTAGAACTTGCTATTTTAAAATTGAATATCAATGGTTCATTTCTTGGTAACTCAGGCAATCCGGTTCTGGTGCGTTATTAGGAATTTACTTTGTAACTTTGCAAAAAATTGGTGTTCCATGTGGGTTTTCATCACAAGATTTAGCTGAAGCTGATGATTTGTTGAAAGTCCAAATGGATGTGCTCACTTTGAATCTCTTTTCGCAAATTATCATCTGTGGAAAATCTAGTAGATTTATCAACAAAAGTATGGTTTCTGTTGATTTATTGGTGTATAGAGGATAAGGATGGGATAATGCTTAATTTCTCCTTGTGCATTCTTATGTGTTTTTTCTTTCGTAGGGCTCATGTGCAAGTCTTGTGTATTAATCTATGGTAGGGTTTTGCATTAACCCCATCTGTATTGTCTAGAGAAGGAATCAACTAAAGTTTTCCAAATTGCAAGATGAATTTTAATGAATCTTTATACTAAGATGGGCACCTTCACTGGACTTGTATCTTAGATGCAAATAGCTCATTTAACTGTTTCTATTTCACATTTTTTTAACCATTTCTCAGTAATTATAGTGTACTATATTTATGACACTCCTGGCATATCCTCTCCTTTCAAACATTCCTCTAAACGTACTTGGCTTTGATATCTTTTACACTCTGATTTTCCTCAATCTCAGACATAAACTGACATCCAAACACTGCATGGACACGGAAAATTTTTGGCTTGATTCTGAATTGTTAGTAGTTCAGAAGTTTGTTTATACTGGTTTCTTCTAATGAACTAAAAAATTGTTTTACTGAAATACCAGAATAACTTCTAGTAAAATTTGCTTATACTAGTTTCTTCTAGTGATCTTGTTTCATGTGTCACTGGTTTTTCTGCTTTAACTGAACGTTGTCCGGGTTGTTTCCCGGGTTAGTACTTGTTGGAAAACTAACTATGCTTCAACAACTTTTTTTGGGTGAGTATGCTTCAACGTCTTGCAACTGCAATCGTGTTATTTATAGTTATATGCACAATGACGTTATCTTCATCAAAAGCTAGTATGATCCATATGGTCCTGATAAAAACATGTTGATAATGGTTATAACCATTCAATCAGGGAGTTGGATTTAACAATCATTTTCTTGTAAAATATACTGATTCCGGACTTTATGTGAGCATGTATATTAGTTTCCCTTTAATGCTCATAATTTATCTTGTACAAACTATTTGTGTTACTTATCAGGACGAACAAGCTATGTGTCTATTTGGGCTTCAAACAGAAACATTCATCGTGATACTTGTAAATAGTTGGGGACGTAGTAGCGATACTGTGCATGACAGGAACCAGGAAGGTCATGTCACATGGGAGATAGCAAGTGCTCTGAAATGCGAGTCAGATATTACATGATATTAATTCGAGTGCAGATGCTCATTTGGATCTCTCTCTCCCCCTCTGCATGTGCGTGTGCGCACAAGGGGTTTGTGCATGTTGGTGTGCTTGCGCACATGCTGCTTTATTGAAGCACTGCACCGGCAAAATAAGAGATGTAAATGTGTAAATGACTTGGTAAATGATATGAGTTAGATAGGAATAATTCAATTGCCGGTAAATATTTTGATCACTCAGCAACATTGGCACATTTGAATTCACGTTATAATGTTCTGATCCATACTTGGCATAGTAATTATTTCATGGGTGTGGTTTGTATAAGGCTGACACCCTAAATAGTGTTAAAAGATAAATTCAGTTATAAACATCTGTGATGGTCTGAAAATTCATTTTCATCTCATAAGTAGAAATTTTAAAGATTCAAAATTAGTGTAGATCGAGTAGATCTATAAACTCTTGAAACTAATGAAAATTGATGGACTAGATAAATGCATTACAAAATGCACTATTTTCTATATTTGAAATCCATTTTTTCTTTCTATACATGTCAAGGTGGAGATAATTGATTTGAGGATTTTTCAATACATAATCTCTGCTAGTGAACTTTTCGAGGTGCACCTTGATTTGATTGTTTAGGGTTTCAACCTTACAAATTTTTTCCTTATTTCATTGTATTGCATACGACTTGTTCTACCATAAATTGAATTATTTATGAGAGTAGGAAATTTGAAAAAGGTGCAGTTGGCATACGGATGCCTATGTAGGTGTAGAGGTAAGGAACCCTTCAAATTTTATCATGGTATATAATTTTGATGTAAAATGTTAATAGGATTATCTCAAAATCTATTTTTATATTTAATTATAAAATTTTATATTTAATTATAAAATTTTAAATTTAAAAAATGGTTAAAATCAAGTAAATCTATAAACATATGAAAATCTTGAAAATGGATGGTGTAGATAATATGTTGTAAAATACAGTATTTTTGAGACTTCAAATCTTTTTATTTTTCATAGTTATACATCTTGATGTCGAGATGATCAATCAAGGGTTTTGCAACATTAAAACTACCTTTTCAGATTTTTGAGGGGCATCTATAGATCTACTTTATAAAGTTACATCTTTATGTAAACTTTTGGCATTTGAAAATGGAGGTTTATGATTTGCAACAGCCCTTTATGGTTTAGCTTTCCATGGCTCACTGAAATCCATTTCATCTAAATTTAATTATATATTCTACTAAATCCATAAATCAAGTGATTGTTGAAATGATTGCAATTTCATATTCTATATGCATTAAGTTTGTAAAGTTTTAATGGTTCTGAAAGGAAACTGGAAACTTTTCCAATGTCAACTCAACAAAAAACAATGATACAAAATACTTAAATACGGGTGCGGTTTGTATAGAGCCTAGGCTCTAAACAATCAAATTAGAGCCTACCTTCAAATAGTGTCAAGAAATGTGGTTTCAATATTGAAAATCTTTGTAATAACCTTAAAATATATTTTTATATTTATTTATAAAATTAAAGCTTAAAAAATAGAATAGATTGACAGATCTATAAAAACTTGAAAATCTTAAAGATTGACGGCTCAAAAATGCATTACAAAATATACTATTTTCAAAACTTGAAATCCATTTTTTTCTCATTTCCATGCATCTTGATGTCGAGATGATCGATTTGAAGATATTTGGGCATCAAAACAATCTCTTCTAATAAAATTTTTGAGGTAAACTCAAATTTGATTGTTTAGAGCCTCTACCTAAACTTTTCCCAATATTTAAATTATAACCTCTGAATTTTGAATCCAACACACAAGATTAAGCTCAATTTCTCATCAACCGAATAAAATTATACTCAAAGAACACTCTTCTATTCTTTTTTCATATTTCTATTTTTAAGACTGGGAATTGTCTCCTTCACTGAGCTCGTGGGCTTCTCCTTGGTGTATCTGGTTGTTTCTGTTCTGTAAGGATCTTAAACACATTAATCAGCCCTCGCAGCCTATGCCAGACATTCAAACCATACAGAGCTTCAACAAGGGACTCCTGAAACTCAAAAGAATTGTCTGCAATAGGATACTGCAAAAGGGTAACAAACATTAGGAGCAAAGGAATAAAAAAAAGGCATCACCAAATTAAATAATTTAGGAACATCATATAACCTCAATTTAAAATGAGATTCATATGGAAGTATATCATAATCTAATTGACTTTGTTCTGTGTTATTATATTGACATCCACCTGTTCCCACTGACAGAAGGTTGGAGATTAACTGTGTTTGGGTGAATCTCCTATGGGCCCCACTCCAGTTAATCTCTATACCTTCTGTGAAGGATGCCAATTCACTGAGTTTAATCTCCTATGGGCCAAACACAAGTTAACCTCTAACCATCTGTCAGTGTGAAAAAAGGGTGGTTGAATAGACTAGGAGTAACATATACCATAGAAATCAGACAATGGAATATACCTGTAGTGGATTTGGTATCTTAGTCTTGATGTATGGCCACCACCTATCCTCTACAACCGACTTCACAAGGCAGCAAGCTCGCAGCCCTTCAACACCCGCAAATCTCCCAAACCCACTATGTTTTACACCACCAAATGGCAAAGACTGCATTGGTAAAGCGAATACATTTAGGTACTCGTTAAGGGAGAGGGTGAGATCTCATAGAAGTCAGATGCATAGGAGATGAAACAGTATTCACTAGAATGTATGTCCCTTGGTAAAAGACCAGCAAATGAATATTGATCATTGCTCCTTCAGAGATAAGATACAGTTTATTAATTCCAGGAGTGGGATAAGCATGTCCACAAAATATTTTCCTGGCAATTACTTGGCAGTTTAAAAACGAGTTTTTTAAGATTAAAACTTCAAAAATATCATAAAAAACAGCCTAAAACTTGTCAAAAGATTAGGTAAGATACTAAAATCACATATCTAAGTTAGACATTGAAATGGGATAAAAACTGAGTTAAAGGCAATTTTAATTAAATTGTTAAAAATGGTTATTTTACTTTCAAAACTGAAGGTTTCTAGGTCCAATCTTACTTAGGTGAAAGATATCTATTTTTTTTTTTAAAAAAAAAGAATCTATTCTTGTGACTATATAACCATCTATTTTTATTGAGACTAACAGGGTACCTGGCACATATAGTTTGACGCAAAATCATTGATTGCAGCAACACCACAATGTAGCTTTGAGGCAATTTCCCTGGCTCGACGTTGGTTTTGGGAAAATACAGCACAACCAAGTCCATAGTTACTATCATTGGCAAGCCTGACAGCCTCTTCATCTGTACTGAATTTCATAATTGGAATTATTGGCCCAAAAGCCTGCATAAAACCATGGGAAACGCATATATCATGAGGAACTTGTAAACTGATCAAGATACTTGGCATCTTTAAATTGTATATGGAAAATTATACAATAATCCAATGGTGTAGCGTATACTGTGCTCCAAAGGGGCATTCCTAATGATGAATGGTGAACATTTGTTGTAGTGGGCTGATTGTGACATTTATAGGGGTACAATTAAATTTAATGCCCATCATTGGACAATGGATGCCCTTGGAGTACAATTATACCATGCTTCAATGGATTATTGTAAACTTTGCCTTGGTTAGATTACCTCTTCCTGCATCAGCTTCATAGAGTGATCTACATTAATAAGTACGGTGGGAGGAAAGAATTGGGCAACCACATCTCCCGTGTTCTCAAAATTTCCTCTACAAACAATTTGGGCCCCTTTCTCTAAAGCATCATTCACAAGGTTTTGAAGCCTGTCAGGATGCTCTTCCATACATATTGCCCCCACATCATACCTACCTTTCAGTGGAGGCCCCTGCACATAATAGAGCATGATGAAATAACAATTATAATTTCCAGATTGACATGCATAAAGTTATACTAACACTTTAGGGCAAATTCACAGGATAATAAATAATGACAAAAGCCCAATTTCATTTTTATTTTATGATTGCAGAGAGTCACCTTGTTTCCAATAAAAAAAAGCATAAACCCACTTTTCTTGTTGATAATTGTATTTTTAAAGTTGACTTGAATCAATGAACGGTTAAATGCTGCAACTGTAGGAATTCGGAAATAGACAACCATAGGATCTTATAAGTGCAAGTTGTTCACTAATTATAGTTCCAATCAGCTCCAACTGAGCATAAGAAGTGATAATGAGGCAATAAAAGAAAGAAAAAAAAAAATTCACAAATCACTAATAGGTATGCAAATCATTAATATAGAAGAGGTGTCTGAAAGTACTTACAACACGAACAGATTTTATAATTTTCACAATTTGTGCAACAAAATCAGAATACACATTCTTGTGGACATAAAACCTCTCAGCGCCAGCACAGTTTTGCCCACTTGATTGAAGAGAAGCTCTAACTGCTATTTGTGCGACCTAAACGATAGGCCATCATGTTAAGAAGTGCCATAAAATTAAGTTAAAATGTTTGCATCAATGGTGCCATTCAGAGAAATGTTTTTGGTAGAGTTGTAAATGCATACATGAGGCACATCAACATCTTCACACACAATGAATGCATCTTTTCCACCAAGCTCAAGTGTTACAGGTATTAATGTCTCAGAAGCATTCCTCATAATCTGTAAAGCAAATGAGGAATAAATTAAATCAACAAAAGTTGAAAGATAATATGCAAAACATATATAAGTTACATGAAAATTGAAAGATAATATGCAAAATATATATGAGTTACATGAAAATTCACAACACAGATAATATCTTGCATGATAAAGGTTTTTATTGTAGTTAGTTTTGGTTAGACTCTAAAGACATGTAAATAGGAGGGATTCCCAGAGAAAGATGGAAAGGTCCAATATGAAAAAAAATCTAGAAGTAAAAATATGGGACCCGTTATTAAGATGTTTTAGAAGATGATCCACTATAAGGGCCATTTTTGTAGTGCCCTTGGGGGTTCTATTTATATCCTTAGTAAGGCTAGTTTGGCTACCTTTCCAATTTACTAACTGGCACTCTTTTAGATGCCTGTGTAAATGGTCTTGAAACTAGAAATATATCAACATGGATTTCTTTGGAATAGAAAGTTGACATTATAAAAAAAAAATTTCTTTGGAATAGCTAAAAGAGAATATTCATGCATTCACTAAGCAAGGTGCATAAGAGGTTGCAAATAAAAAAGTGGGGATTTAGGGATTACAACTTTAATGGCAGCAAATGAAGCAAGCTCTTCTGAGTTCTGGAAATAAGGGAGATTTTCTTTTGTCAAGGTGGATAGGTAAATTCCATTGCAGGTGAAGTGGGGTTTTGCAGAAGTCATACTGGAAAAGGGTGGTCTTGGAACTTTGTCAAAAAATTTGGTGTGCAGGTTTATGAAATTGGGGGAAAATAAATAAATTTATATATCAACTATAAACGGCTCAGCCAAGGAAAAAGGCATACCATCTTACCAATACCAGGTGATCCAACAAAAATGACTTTGTCAACTGAAGAAACAAGTGCTTCTCCAGTTTCAGCAAATCTGCAGGGTCAAACACAAATCAGAATTACACGAATATTTGATTATCCACTCCAAAGAATGGCTGGGCCAAACTACATATATCTACCCAGTTATAACATGAACCAGATTCTCTGGGGCTCCAACAGCAACAAGAGCAGCTTGAATAATTCGGAGGTAGAAACACCCTGACCAGCTTGCATGTTCTGAAACCTTCATCAAACTAAAACAAATTTACTTGGAAACTTAAGAGGGCCATGATGATGAATACATACTATTGTGTATCTAGGATTTATGCTTTACATCATTAAGAGAGGTGAAAAAATTATCCGCATGTTTTACAATTTATGAGATGAATATACCTAAAGAAAAGAACAGACAAGAAAACCATATCATCCACAGTACCTTTATCACAATGCTGTTTCCTGAAAAAACTGCTGCTAACATGGGATTGAATAGGTTGTGGAATGGATAGTTCCAGGAAACAATCGCCCCAATCATTCCAAGGGGATAAAATTCCACTCTTGAAATTTTGTGCAGCATGGACCTACCAGAAGACCTAAAAGAACGGGGAAAACTCATGAAGTTGCATATCCAGTTACGTTAATTGCACTTATATGATGTTGTAATATATGCATTGAATATGACATTAACAAGTGTAGTGTTATTTCAAAGGATATAAGTTTCAAGAATGTGATATTTATTTCACAAATACAATTCCATCATCTGTTCTTGATGGTATTCCTCTTCCAAACTGCTAATCAGATTGATTGGAAATAAATTATTCTTATACCTGTGCTTCACAGTGGAAGTGGATATGGGAGCAGTAGTTCTGATAAGGTTCAGGGTGAACACCAAAGCAATGGATGCATTCCCCCCCCCTCCCCCCTCTCTGGATAAGTAGGTGTACATGAAGTTCCCCAAGAAAAATGAGAGGATGTACAAATGTTAGTGAGTCCTGATCCTGAGTCAGGTTGGACAGACACAGCTGAGTGCAACCAAAAAAATAAAATAATGGGAACCAGACAGCAGGCAAGTGAGTTGTGCAAGTCTTAAGTAGAACTGCCCCAGTTTTCCAGCAGTGATAAACACTACTGTAATTATGTAATGAACAATTAATTAAATTTGTACCTACAGTTATCCGAAAACACATACTGGCATTTGTGAAAATAATGTGACTTTCCAAAAACACATACTGGCATTTATGAGAATAATGTGACCTTTCTCCAAAATTAAAGTACAAAAATGACTAACAAGAATATGGGCATTTTGAGAAATCAAATTATCATTCCAGTTGTTAAACTGAAGAATAGAAGTCTTGTATCCTATAATAGAGTAAAATGCAAGTTATACTTACTCCTAGTTGAATGGCCAATGGCTAAGAATCCAAAGATATTGTACTAACCATACAACATTACAGATCCATAAGGGAAAGTCAACCATCACCAAATGGATATGAAAAACGAACATTTAATTGGGTCGCATCATACATTGAGAAAATGATTGGTGATGGGGAGAGAGTGGAACCGACCATTGGGGTCCCTGCATGTTCTGCTGGGTCCCGAGTCTCCATCAATTGACGGCTATGACTCAATAGATCATAGTTCTCCTAAAGTCTGTTGGACTGTAGCAAGCTTTGCCAATTCACAATGCAGTACAGCTTACAACATGTATTAGGAATCAATAACACTCACATTTGTAGATAGGAGAATCAGAAAGTAACCTGTATTCAGGCTTTAGCCACTTCTCACCCTCTGCCAGCAGCCAAGTAATTTTCTCACATGTGGTCATTATCTCCCCTAAAGAAGCATCCACCATTGTCTTTCCAGTGTCTCGAGAAGAGATTCTAATCATTTTCAACATGAGTACGTGTAAATACAGAATTTGTAGAAAACCACCCAGCGGATGAAGACATTAGATAGTGAGTTTAGAAACAAGCAAAAGCATTTAAATCAGATACCAAAGCAAAATAAGCAGCATCACTTACTAATTGATAACTATAGAGACAAACCAATTCATTCTGATTCCATTGTCCATGGTATAGCATTGTTCCAAAAGGCAGATTACCAAGCAAAAAATATCATGAAGCATATCTTGTTCCCCAAACGAGTGAAAATGATTGGGTGAATTTGTCAAACTTCTCTTGATAACTTTTGAAACTTAATTTTGGAATGCACTTTGATGCAAGTCTTGGATGGGACATCAACCAGGGTGCTATAAATAAACTAATATAAAGAATATTAGGGCATCGGTATTTATCATCAAACATTTAAAATCAAAAGAAACATACATTCCGAATAAAAAAAAAGTAACGGTATTTATCATCAAACATTCAAAATGAAAAAGAAACATATATTCTGATTCAAAATAAATCACCCTAAGTTCCTAATCACCTCGCCCCCTCCAGTCAAAATAAAAACTTGAAATCAAATGGGATCTATACATTACATTCCCAGTTTGGAAGAATCTATGGACAGAAGTAGATATGTTGAGGATAAATTGGAAATAAAACTATCAAGGAAATCTAGCTCACAAAAGTTTTGTTTTTCAAAATACACTGGGTTCATTTAAGAGTTCTTACAAGTTACTCGGTCTCCAACTCAATAAACTTGTCCCCAAGTTTTAAATTACACAGCTCAATAATTTAATATAATAATCATACTAATATTCTTCTATGTGACCTCGAAAATTCCAGAGGTGCACCCCTATGCGTTCTCAATTCATTGCAGATATGAGTATTTGCACAAATCTACAATTCTAGTAACACATAAATCACCCACAGATATACAAAATGCAGCATCAAAGCCTTAAATGTAAGTATAACAAAATTTATAATGAAAGGATGTGCTTTAATCTTTACTAATTGTCACTGTTCTAATGTTTCCTAACTGAACAATTTCGGATGATTGTCGCTTTGCAAGGGACAAAAGTAACAGGATTTGTGACCCCTCATATCCATAATTATCAATCAGTAGACATGCTCACCAAAGTAATAAGTGAGAAGCAATACCTGTTTTTTATAAGAGAATTACCAATTCCTGGCAAATATCACAGGCCTCAGTATTTTAGTGTTGTTCCTTTTGTGAAATCCATGTGTTTATGTGCTTTTGTTTCTTTGCTTGTTTGGAAGATACAATTTCAAATGTATAAATAATTAAGCATGGGTTTTTTTTTTTCTTTTGAATGTTGGATAATTAAGCATTGGCATCGGTATTAAACTATGGCAGTAATCAATACTTACTCGCAAATAAGTTCTTGATGTTCTATAATGTACTTCAGGAGTATTCTCAAAAACTGACGTCGTTGTTTGAAAGTACTCTTTGCCCATTCCTTTTGTGCTGTCCGAGCTTGTTTAACATGTTGCTTGACCTATTCAACATGTTGAACGCTTTATCTCAGCTGAAGGAAAATTTGAAGTCAATTGTAACTTCTCACATCATACTTGTAATGCTATTTTCAAAGAATAAAAGTATAAAAACCACCACAATGAGGTAGAGTTAATTGTTTTCTAAAAGAAAGAAAAAAAGAAAAGAAACGAAGGTTGTAATGATCATAGTGCTGCAGCCCTTATGCTCTAACCACTAAGCCTGGAGGTTGAACCCCGAATACATAAAGTACACAGAAAGGTAACAAAATCTACACCTTGTACCATGACCATGTGTGAGCAGGAAGTAGCTTCTACATACAAGGAGTGATTCAGTAGCACACTTCATGCATTTAACTGTTTCTATCATTAGATGAAATATTACAATAGGTAGCAGACATGAATACCAAATAGCATAGAAGACACATTTAAAGACAGAATACAGTGAGACACTGATACTGTTTCAGACTTTTCTTTGGCTATAAGATCCAGTATCGGCGTCATTTGAAGGTGGATGTGACTATCTCCATATCTTCATATTTGAGTTTTATAACAAGTTCGGGTATCAATAAGAAGAGTAGTACACCCAAATCTCTCCAGCATGTCCATTGAAAAGTTTGACAATTCAATACCAAAGATTCTTTCTTGAAATTAATTTAGAAACTACTGAATTAATCTAGATCAATGCAGATAAACAGCACCTCGTCGGGGGTCAATAAGAAGAGTAGTACACCAAAATCTCTCCAGCATGCCCATTGAAAAGTTGGACAATTCAATACCAAATATTCTTTCTTGAAATTAATTTAGAAACTATTGAATTAATCTAGATCAATGCAGATAAACATCACCTCGTTGGGGGTCAATACAGGGCAGTATCCTAGATATCTCATTGTTGCAGGCTCATAGCATTGAATCTTGTCTGCCTGTGCCAACTTAACCTTCCTTGGTACCTGCATGGAAATTCATAAGAACAAGAAGAATTATCTGGTCATTGCAATAACTCAAAAGCAGTGAAGAATAACCAAATAGACTATATTCACAATGGAGGACTTTATTTCAATTTTTGCATCAATGAATGCTTTCTATATTACATTAGAAATTACCATATTTGTTTGGATGTTCAGAAATGCTCATATCTAACACTAAACTAATAAGGCGACAGTTTTCTCAACATTATCGAGTATGACTCAAATAAATGACGAACCCAAAATTCCAACTAACAATGTAAGAGGAGTTTTTCTTTGTCAGGCTTCAATGGAAAGGACCTTTTAATCATCCCACAGTTTGAGCCTAATAACTGACCAGGAAATTGCGAATTCTTCTACAGAGGCTGGAAAAACCTATACATATGAAGAGGCAAAGAGGTCCAAGCAAACAAAAGAAGCAAAGTCATCCTGTCTTAGGCTACAAACATTTATCCACAATAATGGTGTCCTCTGAACCATATTTTGTTGTTTTTTATTGCCCTTCCTACACTTTTGAGTAGAAGATGGATTTCAGGTCAGCACCGATTATCATGGGTTGGTATCTTCTGTGAATAGAGGTGATACCTTTGCACAACGTAGCTCCCCAAGAATCAAGATGGCAATAATAATAAGAAAATTAATATTAAGAAAAAGCAAAAAGACCAGAAAAGAACATCAAGCCATTGTTTGAATTTGTGGAAAACAAGATAAAAGGAATGCTAAATAAAGATAAATCACTCGGTATCAACTGATTTGAAGGAATTGCAAAGCATAATTAACATAAACAGCAATATTTAATCAACATAGCACTAGGATGCATCATAAAATGGTGACAATAAAAACTTACATAGATGTAGGCACCCTCCTCCGTTTGGTTTCCATCATCCAACACTGCATCCACCACCCATTATCAAGTAAATAAATAAGCTCATTTTTTTCAATTATAAAAAACTTTGAATAAAAATCCAACAACCCCATTAACAAAAAAACAGAGGAAAAATAAACCTATATTGTAAAACATCAAAAAGGGTTTAAAGAAGCAAACCTTACTACTAATTATATTTCACATCCATGAACTAAATAAAGTAAAATAAAAAATGCAGACCCATCTTGTGAAAAAAACATTGGATGATCCAATATGTTTATTCAGTACATGACCATAACAAGGGAGAGAGAGCGAAAAAATTCATTACGTTTATTCAATACATAAGCGTAACAAAGTTCTCGCTCTAACAGCATGAATGAGAGAGAGAGAGAGAGAGAGAGAGAGAGAGAGAGAGAGAGAGAGAGAGTAGTACTAGAGAGACGACGACGTACGACTACTACGTAGGGTAGGGTAACGGGTACGGTAACGGGTAGGGTAGGTACGGTACGTACGTACG